AACAATCTTAACATTAGTATTCACTGATGGGTACTTATATCTTAACCGTAAATGTATACCTCACAAATATTTATCAACTTTAGTAGTCAGCAGTACTTTTCTGTAAGAGCAAACTCACTTTTCACCGTGGAATTACCGGTGTGATTTAAAATTTATTTGAAATTCTTGTTCTAGTTTAAAATCTAGAACACGAATTTCAAATAAATTTTAAATGTGCAACGACTGAATATTCGGCCTGCTGCCTAACAATTTAGAACGTCATTTGAAACCACAGTTCGATTGTGGTGTGATTCTGACAGACACCACTAAGCTCACTCGAGCCAATGTTCGGTTTGTTTACAAACGACAACAACCTCGTGGTCGGTGCGTTAACACGCAACTTTGGCTGGCGTCCAGTACCACTCATTGACTGCGTGGAACCCTTAGCAGTGATGTTCTGTAAGCGTAGGTACCTAAATAATATTGTAATGGGTGTCTGTTTGAGTATCGTCTTAGTAAGGCAACCTAACAAATTGTATGCCACAAAATAAAAACCGAACGAAAATACTGTGAGTTTAATATGAACTGTCGTCGTCTGTTATCCGAAATTTGACCTATAGGCCAGGATCGATAATTTTGAGAGCAAAACAATTCAGAACAGGATGAAACCCATACCAGAAGGAAAGTTAAAAAAGGGGGAAAAAATAAACTACGGTTGATTTCAGGTCGGGATGGGTGCAGGGGTGACCTTTTAAATGGAGTAAACGATAGGAAAAACAAACTCATATCGAAAAAATTCCATTGCTAAATTGTAGGTGATGAATTTGAATTACCTACAAGTTTTCCATTGAATTTTTGTTCGATAGGAGTTTTGAGTTTCCCAAAATTCGCGATAAACTTTTTTCCTCCTTTAAAAGGTCGAGAATAAAATAAGAGACGCTTTTGGTTTTTTATGAGAAAATTTTCAATAGTTATATTTTTTGCATTTTGTATTAAGTATCGCCAGTAAGTAGACTTATGTTCCAATGAACAAAACGCGCACGAACTTAGAAAGACACTTTTTTTGCGGTATATTCTTCGATTGAAAATGAGGTTAATCTTTCGAAATTATATCAAGATTAGGAATTAAAATATAAATACGTGTTTGGGATATAAATAGGTAAGTTTTCAATTAAATCAAAGAAGTTTCACCGTGTGAAATGTTCTGATTATTTATTTACTAACGTTTCGCATCCTTTGCAGGAATGCGTCTTCAGAATAAGTAAGGTAAGTTTTCACCAAATTTTTATGAAAAAAGTTTTTTTGTGGGAAGTAATTAAAACACTAAAAGTCGATTACAGTATAACGCCGTTTGTCCGAATCGCCAATTATCCGAATCGGTCCTAAGTGTTATATTAAAAATTAAAACCAAGTTAATTTTGTTTTGTACAACAGTAACAAGTTGGAACTCGCTGGAGTCCAGATATATTTCATCTGTTATGGTTGAAAGCTAGAGGCAAGACACTACATGTTTTGCGTGGCGCGGTTTTTTTTGCTACTATGTATGTACCACTTTTATTGTATTTAGTATTGTAGAACTGTGTTTGTTAAACTTCTAAGGTTTATTATATGTGTGACAGTTGGTTTTTATTTATTAACAGTCTATGTCCGATTATCCGAATCGACACCGGTCCCAATTAATTCGGATAGTCGGCGTTCTACTGTATTTTGATTATTATTCTCAGATATTCTTAGGTTATGTAAAAGATAATACCTATCAATATTATTTTTTAAGCATTTATCTACTAGATGTTTAAATCTAAAGAAAATTTTACTACACAAAAGCCTACGTAATTCAATGCGTAGCGGAGGGTGCGGGTTCGAGTCCCGTCTGCTGCCAGGACAGCGTGGATTTTTTCTAGTAAAACTTTCTTTAGATTCAAAAATGTATTACTTTCACAGCATATTGATGCCGCAGGGTCGAACGTGCACGGCGTCAGTTGGAACTAAAATTTTAACATTCTTCAATTCCATAGTTTGGTGTTCAGTTAATTGAAACAGCGTCTTTTTCGCCCTACAGACTGGCTAACAACAACGAATTGATTTGCATTTATTAATAATTGCACAATTGTAGCCAATGAAAGTTAATGATGATAATTATAATTGTGAATTGTAATTCACAGTGTACGAGCGAAAAGCCCACACAATGCGGTCGACTTCCATTGGATATCGGCCAAAGTAGGCCCGACAGTGAAGATGCTCCTCTTATCTACTTTTACCTTGAGCTATATTTACTATAAATAATGTTGCTAAAATAGTTTTTAAGCGAATCTATGTGTTTTCTCAAGGTCTTAGTGTCCAATTATACTTTTGCTAAGCTATATCCAGTGTTGGTATCATATAAAATACACATTTATTCTCTGTAGCTGTTTTTTGTTGTTGTTAAAAGCCCATGTACAAAATTGCGCCGCTGCCGTACTGCTCGGCGCGTAGGTGGATTTGCATTAGTATAGATTGCATTATACGGGTGATGTTTCGAGTCTTATAAAATAATTATTAATGAAATAATTATAAAAATATATACATATTTCAGTAGTTCAATGATGGTAGATTAGTTTTATGAAAGTTTTTGATAGTAATTCTATTTAATTTAATATCAAAATACAAGGTAAACCAGCATTATTTTTTGGGAAAACTCACGGAGGTTAGATGTTTTTTTTTGATAATTAACGAGATGGAAAATCAAAATTCTAATACATTATGTTACAACAAAAACATATTTCTGATGTCGCAGTAATAAACATTTATTAAACAAACGCCTGAATCTTAGAGATTCAGGCGTTTGTTGTGCATATTATCGTTTTTTTCCGTATACTAGCTGCGGTAGAACAATCAGTACAAAAAAAGGAAAATAGTATTTGCAAATATTCTCCATTAACTTACAATAGGAAGAATAAATCTACTGTTTACTTTTATTGGAAAAAGTCAAAATCTTTTCTAAGGCGGTAAACAAGGCGCAAAAATTACGATTTTTTACAAAAAATGTGTAAGGGCTCTTAATTTTACTTGAACGTTTTGTTTTACGTTATGTTATATGTATTTTTGCATTTTATGTGTATGTTATGTACTGTCAACAATTAAAACATTTTTCTTTCTTTCTTGCTTTCAATTGAAACGTGAACTGACCACATACCTAGATTCAAGTAGACGCCGTACATATATACTTCAAATTAATGGGAAACTGAGCGTGTCAGATTTGAGTACCAACTACGAGAGCAAATAAGTGGTAAAAAAGCATGGGACGCGGTCGCCTAATTCAATTATATCATTTTTACAACTTAATACGGCAAAGTTAGATATTTTTTTACCATAACGGTTAACTTCCAATATCGAGAACAGTGACGCGAAGAAATTAATTAGCGTAAAAGGATGACCATTGGTCTCCCTTTTGGCAAGCGAAGTACATATACTTGCGTTATTTCGATCTTTGTCTGTGGAACTGAATTTGATGAATTCCAGTGCGGTGTCAGCGGTAAAACGCAATTCAAATATCTTTAAAAAGAGAAGCTATGTTTTAAATAAATTGGCGGATGGTGGCTAGGTGAAAAAAGTCTAAGATTTTCCGTCACAACCGGCAGTTGTTTCGTAGCGTATTGTGTGTAGTTATGTACTTATAGTAATGTTTATTTTTAACTTCATTCAATCAGAGTGTTCCACAATACTTACGTTTGCTTTTTATTTCAGTTATAGGTAGGTACTTATTTCGTCAAAGCAACGATAAATATACTGGTCCTAAATTACAAACCCCTGATAAACGAACAGGCGCGAATTGACTTCGTTAACCTAGTTTTAGGGTTTCGTCACTCTTTAGTATCCCCAAAATTAAAGAGTTGAAAGTATTTTAAATTATTCACCAAATACATAAAGATAAACACTACCATGTTAAACAGATACAACTGATACTAAAGCAGAAATTGACGCAAGACAGATTTGAAAACTTTTTAACAAATTATCTGTGATAAGTACTAGGGAGTTCGGTCTTGCTATCTTTCCATTTTTTGTGTTAAAAGAGTAGCAAATGAGCATATGGCCCACCTGATGGTAAAGAAGCCTCCATAGATAGACGCTTGCGATGTTAAAAACCTGAACTACCCTGCCCTACCCTTTTTTTTTTTTTAATACGCAGGTAAAAAATCTATTTACAGACGACGGCGCCTTTAAGAGGCACACCGCCGAACGGACCTCACACCTGGCTCCCGCAAGTCTTACGAACCCCCCAGTGGCTGCCCACCGAGGACCCCGCAACTCTTACGGGCGCTTTACGGTATAATATCCGCTAAAAAAGTCCTGCGAATACCCTCCGAGCTGCTTAGTGCGAAGCCGCGGGATCCCCGTTTAGGGATTCTCCGCGTCTACGCACCTAGCAGCCTCCCGGCCTTAGCCGGGGCTCCACGGCAGGGGTCTCCCGGGGTATCACGGGGACCCCGTGCGCGGGTAGGCCCGCGCGTGGGGGCTGAGTACGCGGCCTAGTGCCCACCGTACCGCCCCCCGTCCGCTGCGGAGGGCTACTTGGGCGTGCCCGTGGGCCCGCCCCCCTCTTTGCAGGACAGAACTACAAGGGGGGCTGACCCTGCCCTACCCTACCGCTACCCCGTCGAACCTTACTAACCGACGGAAACACAACAACACCAAAAGGTTGTGTTATTTTACTGTAGTCTCCTGTAAAGTGGAGGTAACTTCCCCAGATGGGCGATTTATTTCGAGCGGAAAATTCGCTTTACCCTACTTCTCTTGAAAATTTGAAAACGCAACAAAACATAATAAGTATTATGAAGTTTGGCCTTGCTATGTTTCCGTTGATGTTAATACCTAATCATTACGAAATAGGAACAGAGAATTTCATTTTAAAATGGGACCTAGCAAAATCAATTGCAGATCTAAGAATGGGCGATGTTAAATTTGACGTAAACATCAACAGTGAAGACCTTGTTATAGTTTCAAAAATAATTCACGGCGTCCGCGCCTTTGCGTGTTGCAGTCTTCTTCAGACGATATCGTAGGGAACTCGTCTTAAAATATTCCAACGTTCGCACGATATGCGTTACGCAACACGTGACCGTTAGTGAAGAACAGTGCCTTGATATAAAATCAATAACATCTAAATATGATTTAAGAAGTAACTATCAGAAAACAATATGGATTATGAAGATGTAAGCCCGGCTGTTGTTCTCCATTGGAATTACAGAGGATTCACCGAATTCCCACTCCATCGCATCAACGGTGAAGAAGCAGAAATAACGGATATTTACTTAAAAGAGAATCTCATTAGTCGCGTACCAAACGAAATTTGCAAATTGAGAAACCTAGAAAGTTTGTATTTAAGCGGAAACGATATAACGGAGCTTCCGAAGGAAATATCCGGGTTGAGATACCTTAAATGTTTGGACATAAGTGGGAACAGGTTGAGGATGCTCCCGGATGAAGTCGGCGACATGAAGTGCCTGAAGTTTCTGATTCTGGATGAAAATGAACTTACGTCACTTCCGCTCAGACTGAACGAGCTGCGGTACCTGCGATATCTATCGGTTTGTGGTAAACATTTTTATTTTAAATGTGTTTTTTGTTTATGTTTTATTTTATCAGTGTTTGTTGTTTACTTTCTTACAAATAGATTCACGATTTTAATATGAACTAAGTGAAATTAAAAAAATATTTTATTTAGAGGACTGTTCCGCGCAATACTCAGAGGTACTCCACTGTTTTTGTTAATTTTAGGTTATTTGTGGCAGGACAGTCGTATTTAAAAAAAAACTATTCTAAATTATACCTCTTAGGACCACGAGTCAAATATAATGAGCAGGCAAACTAAAAGAGGTTACAAGAGGTAAGAGTGACGTATACATACAGACATCAAAGAAGTCTACGGAACCTGCATCTTTTACGAAAACATTTAGAAATCTTTTTTATCAGTTGATATTGTACATTATCGTTACGAAATAATAATATGTATAATTTATTCCGAAGATTTTTTGCTTTGGTGACTTAAAAGCAAATTGGTTATTATTAACAAAAGGAAATCAAAGTAATTAAATAATAAAAATGGGTTAAAATTTCAGAAAAGTTCATGTTGTTTAGATTTTTTTTATGAGTATATTTGTGCACGTATCATAGGTGGATTAGATCCCTACGCAAAATCTTTAATCTAAATGAAAAAGAGAACTTGATGGCGTAGCGTAATGCGTATCCGGTTATTTCATAAAAATTAAGAAACTCTTTATTATTACATACATTTTAAACTTTCTAAAGAAAATTTTACCAGAATTTATCCCATTTAGTCTGATAGGTGTGAGACAGCAGAACTGCACTTTCTGCTATCCGTGCGGACACACTAACCGCTATGCTACAAAAGTTTTTGACGGCCAAGCGAGCATCACTGAGCCAAATTTATCTTTGATAGCTCTTGTCCCTCAGCGACAAATAGTGGAGAGCCGGCAGTGTGAACAGTATACTATTGTAACTTTGTTTCTTCAGCGAGAAAGTAGCTGATAGTTAGTCGCTTCCTCGCCGGGCAGTGGGACAATTTCCTCAGCTGGATAACCAAAATGTATTTTTTTGAACTACTTCCTGCTGTAAAGCCCCTTAGACTGTTGATCCCAGCTGCATGTACAGCCATTAGCACAGTTCTATCTGAACAGGGCTAAGTACAAGGTAGTTATGGGCCCATTCTTACTGTGACCCTGTTCATAGATTAAGCATCCGCCTCAGCAATAGACTGGTTGATATAAGTAAATATCGTATTCAGTCTAATTCTTACTCAAAAAAAAATTAATTTCTTTTTGCATCTTAACATAACTTGTTTTTACGATGTTTTGGGTTCCTTAATTTTGACCTATTTACAAACAGAATTACAAACCATTTAAATATCTAATCATAATAATATGACTTATTTATTATTATGGTAGTGTTTCTTCATGTTGAGATTTTGTTATCTTAGAAGTGGACTTTTTTTGTACAATACCTAAGAGGAAAAGTTGTTGGATTTATCTTGGTAACACAAAGTAGCCATAAAGCATTCGTTTTGAAATCGATTGCACGTTAACCGACATTACAACGCTGTTACTACGAATTTAACTATACCACGTTTAAAAGCGGTTAAAGTAAACTGCGGTTAAGCTGGGTGCTCACAAGCGTGCTGTGCTGAGAATGTTAACACAGCGGCAGCAACTGTCAAACGACGACATTATTTATTCAATTGATGCAACGAACATTATTTGCTTTAAAGTTGTGGTACTTATAACGTCTATAACTATAGGTTATAAATATAAAATCTAATTAAAAGTTAATACTTTTAGGGATACCTAAGCAACAAGTGGAAAATACATTGGTGCCAAACTGGTACAAGAACTACATAACACATGAAAATTTTATGAAAATGTTTAATTGATGACGTAAAAGGAAAGAAATGAATATTGGGTAGACGTGCTTAGAACTTAAATGTAATATTAATATGTACAAGCTGCGCTTTTATATTTCAGGAGCTGGCGCACAGAATGGTTTATTAACGCATCTAGTCAAACTATTTTTTTTACAGTCCAGAAGTTTCAGGACCGTTGAATTTGAATCACAAATAAATTTCAATCAAAACCGCCTTAAACAGTGTTAAAATTACTAACTTTATAAATTAAAAACCACGAAACAAAGCTCACTGGAAACTATGTCATTCAGTTTTATACAACTACTATGAAATTTAATTTTTATGTAATTATATCGTTTTTTTCGCCAGCTCCTCATTTCGTATTATAAAATACGTCAATTGTGAATACACCTCTTATATAGATCGTAAATCCAAAGAAGACAGTGGTAGCTGGCGCCTAGATAACAAACTGTCCGTAGTAAATCAAACTATAACGCTTCCTCATTGATTTGTTTGACCTGATTCCAGAGTTGCCTTATAAAAAAATCATCCAAGCACAATTTCGCTTTGCTGATTGATTTGATGGTAAAAAAACTTTATAGATTAAGTAACACAATGCAGAATATTGCTCCTTTTTATTTATGGCGTTAAGCGATTGTTTATTTCAGATTATAAAATATATTATTACATGTAAGTAAATCCCCTAATAAAAAAATACAACTCTTTATTGTGAGATATGCCTATGAAGTGAGAACTTGTAATATCAAATAGAGTTGAATAAATACGTGAAAAGATCAAATAAATTTATGTTAAAACGATATCATAAAATATATTATTATATTTTAAGATTATATCCGATGAAAATTAACATCGGCCATAAGTACGTACCAAACTAACCTGAACCTACTTAATTAACTACGTAATTGCTACCATAATGCTACCTTTTACTTGAATTCTTGCTAATAAAGTTTAGTTAACATTTCTCATTCGATAACACTGAACTATTAAGTATCATCATCATCAGCCTATTAATGTCCCCACTGCTGGGGCACAGGCCTTCCCTATGGATGAAATAGAGAGATTGGGCCATGTATTTAGTATACAAACTCAAAATAGTTTTTATGATACTTGCATTGCGCATTTAACTACGCACACCGTTAAATCGAACCTATTGAAAACAAACATTTGAAAATAACAGGAAGTAACAGATTTTAAGTCTTTCAAAGCAAACTATTGTCACAATATTGGATTTTTAAAGTTGCCTTAACTTCAATATTTTAATACCAGTGGGACAGTACAGAAGTATTGTTTACTGTTAAAAAAGTCGCAAGCAAAGGTATGGCCTTTTTTTATACGCAGGCAAAAAATACTATTTACAGACGTCGACGCCTTTAAGAGGCACACCGCCGAACGGACCTCACACCTGGCTCCCGCAAACCTTACGAGCCCTAGCAGTGGCTGCCCACTGAGGACTCCGTAACCCTTATGGGCGCTTTACGGCATAATATCCGCTAAAAAACCCTGCATATACCCTCTAAGCTGCTTAGCGCGAAGCCGCGGGATCCCCGTTTAGGGATGCTACCGCGTCCAACAAAGGTATGGCCTGCCTGATGGTAAGCGGCCACTGTGACCTATAGACTATTGTAATAGCTCTCATCGTTGCCTACCCTGACCCAATCCCCTACCCCGTGGAGCCCTGGAACCTTACACACTGACAGAAACACAACACCACCAAAAACACAAAAGGTACTGTTATTTTTACCCGACTGCGCAATGCAAGAGCGCGAAGCGCGACGCGCAGAGAGGGTATAGTGTTTTTACTGTGGTCTTCTGTACCTTACAAAGAAGAATAATTACTCCATCTTAACTAGTTACGTACAAGAAAAAATAACTCTTTCATCAAAACCAGTTACGAAACTACGGTTTCATAGTCGGCCGAAGAGGTTCCGAGGCATTGCGCTTTGTATTTTTTGACCAATTGAAATAGTATGCAATGTCTGTTTACTTGAAGTACACTAGTAACTAAGCGAGAAGCTGGGCTCTTTTAGTGAGGTCTTCACTTGAACCAACAAATAACGATTGTAGTACCTACCTCTTTGATATGATTTTAGATAACAAACTGCAATGGCTGCCACAGAGACCCGTTTACAACTACCATCATTGCGAGTTCCGATTTTGGAGGAACACCGCGCTAAGATCAATTCCTTATACCCTGTGGTATCACATGTTTCGCGACCAGCAAACAAGGAGTTTGAATATAGGGTAAGTTCTGTACCCCCTTTTTTAATAAACGAAGATAACAGCTTAAGTAAACATCGCAATTACAACATTGCTTTAATCAAAAATATTACATTTATCTAAAAATACATCTATAATAAAAACAACCCATCCAGTAGCGGAAAAATACTTAATCTCTTGCACCCGTGGCAACTGAGACGCTTAAGTCTCCAGCAACAGTCTCCAACAGCTTCAGGACTGTCGCTTTCAAATATTTGTCCGGATATTTGAGCATAATAGCTGGGTTGAAAAATAGTGCAAATTTTCATTTAGTTACTTTTTTTCTTCTTTATAATTATGAATTACTATTTGTTTTATTATTATGAACAGAAATGAAGCTTAGAGTTAGAAGTTCCGTGTGTAGATTCAATAAATGAAAAGCCCATTCTAAAGAAACCAATCAAAACGAAAGTTTAAATTTATCCTTTATATAAATCAGCTATTAATATTGTGGCTCAACCAACATTAAAACATACAAACAGATGCTGGATTACCATTGCCGTTTATCAGTATGTATGTGGTGTAAGGTAATCAACTCACGCATGTATATCAAAGTGATACCACTAACAGCTGAACTATTTCAGAAGCAATTATCACCATAAACAATCTCTAGTGAAGTGTTTCCGCGTCCATAGAGGAGGGAAGCAATAACATAACATCTATTTATAGAATTGAAGAACTCACTAGCAATAAACTCAATAATATTGCTAAGCTCATAGTTGTATTGATCAATTTTTTCTCCTGTGAAATAATTTGATTAAATATCAACGCAGTAAAAATGTTTCCTTTTATGAGATTACTCCCAACGTGATTTTAAAGTATACAATCAGCATCATCTTCATCATCAGTTTCTAAAGTCCACTCACTCCCCACTGCTGGAGCACAGGCCTTCCATAGCCATCTACCCGTAGGGGAAAGAATAGAGAGATTGGGCTATGACCCACTACGCAGGTACATTTCGGTTTGGTGGGTGCTAACAACTGCATATGCACAATCAGTATCACTACTTACTTAGGTACTTACTTATTTACCTACCTACTTATTTCGATACTGCAAAAATCTATTAATGCTTCTTACTTTTCTTCTCGTCTATGTGAGTAAATACAAGAAATCTTTTAATTTCTTTGTAATTCTGTTGCATTTCAGGTGTCTCAACATCCCACAACATGAACACACATCCACAATAGGCATGTTTCGGTTAAAGTTCATTCAAAATTCAAGAGAATATGAAGTTGAAATTCTGTGTCCACCATATCAAAATATTGTTTTATACAGTGACAAAGATTCACCACCAAGCCTTTATGAAATATGCAAAAGACAGTTGTATCAAATAATTTGTGAAACTGCTAAAAGACACACAGACAATTTAGAATGTAATTATTTTTGGCATAACTTATATCGTAACAATCGTGCAAGAAATCTTCAAGAAAGTTTTGGTAATATTGATATTGACAAAGGTGAAGATCACAATCAAGACGAGAATGGAAATACTCGTACGTTTAGAACTAAGGTTAATAAAAGTGTAAGCAAAATGAAATTGAAGAATGATTACGGTCCGTCGGACATAGTCGAGGAGCATTTTAAGTATTTGCCAAGTTTCATAAAAAGAGATTTGTCTAATGGACCAATATCAAGATGTGAACACGTGCAATGTAAAAAACCTGTTTTTGATCATGCCCATTTTGAATTTTGTCTAGGGTAAGTATTATTTCTTTTGTTGAACACAATAAACACTTTTTGATGAACAAGTATTGTAATCTTGGACAAGTTTGTTATATAAAAAAAAGGTAGTAGTTAACGGATATATAGTAGTTGAGTACTTGCACGAAATGGCATATTCTACCTAGTAGAAAGTAACAGCTTGTTTTCCAAAATAAATATTATTGTTTAAATTTTGTATATATCTTTAAAATTTTAAACTGAAAGGTATCGTGATAGGAGCTCAAGTTAGCTAATTCAACTTGACCCAGGAATCATCCTGGAAACTAAGCAGCGTCTTTCGCTATCCGTATGAATGCACTGACCACTATGCTACCGACACTTAAGCCACGGTAATATTATCTATAATATTACCGTGCCTAAGCAGACGTTCAGATTCAATTTAGTTGTGTTATGATGGCAACTCACCATCATGCCGCTTGATGAAATGGACTTGATAAAGCCAAAATCGTTCAGATTAGTGGCATGTTCTTCCGAAATGTCGCCCCACAAATAGTCAGTTTGGCTTCATCGAGCCACTTGAGCATGCGGCAGAAGGGTGAGAAGCCACCATTATATCATAGCCTACAAGAAAATGCCGCCTGTGACAATGGCACATTTTCACATTATAGCTAACTGCCACAATGTCCAATCACGGATATTTAGATGTACCTATCAAATATTCGAACCAAAACAAGAAATAGCCCTGGTCCTAGGCCAAGTTAGTGTAACATACTTAATTTTAAATTTTTTCAAGTGAAATTTTTCTTCTGGTATACAAGTAGAGCATAACTGCTCTACCAGTGCCATAAATAAAAAAAATGATAAAAAATATATAATTTCTTTCTCTTTTCAGAAAACTGATCCTCATAGATAATGTCGAAAACGTCATTCTTAGTGCCACCTTTTGCTCCAAGTCTTGTTTAGATAAATGGAAAATAGGCAGAAATGTTATTCCATGGACAATTTAATGATGCGATGTGTACAATACCGTTACCTTGTTTAATTTATTAAATTAATATTAGTTACTATTTTAAATTTATTTCCCCTTCATCAAAATCCGTATTCCTTTTAGTTATTACTGGGATTGCTATATATAAATATCTACCTTGTTTAAAATGTTGGTCAGTTTAATCGTGTTTATTACTACTGATTTTATGTACCTACTATTTTAAAGTATTGTGAAAGAGAAGACACACTTATGAATATTGTTTTACTGGGCCAATTATGAGCACAGAGCCTACAATGCAAGATGCCACCCACTGCTGCAATAATGGCTAACACGTCATTTTGAAGAAAAGTTTTACTAGAAAAAAATCCACGCGGACCCGGCAGCGGACGGGACTCGATCCCGCCCCCTTCGCAATCCGGGTGAATGCACTGACAATTATGCTACCACGGCCCTGATGGCTGCGTCGAAATATTCCTAGCCTTAACCTGCAAGGCAGCGCCATCTCTTCGCATTGTAAGTAACCCACAATGTCAAATGAATACTTTTTCAAGTATTAAACATTTGAAAGAAGAAATAGCAATTGTAGTTATGTTTTTATTTATTTTTAAGCATTTAACTGCTAGATGTTTAAAATCGAGTTTTTTTTCTAGTAAAACTTTTCTTTAGATTTAAGCATCTAGCAGTTAAATGCTTAAAAATAAATAAAAACATAACGTCATTTTGACTAAAAAGCAGACTAACTTCAATAAAAGATGCAACTATTCCAATAATACCTTAAACCCTAATTGCCTACAATGTATCGGTTCTACGATGTTTACTATCAACTGTAAATTTGAAATCTTAAAATATACATAAATAATTATAAAAAAACTGTATTCTTATAACACCCATTAACTTTTTCAAACTGAAAACAAATCTTCTATTTCTCTAAAAAAAATACCCTTAAACACTCCTTAAAAATACAAATATTTTTTTAAACTAAAAACTGAGTATAAGGACAAAATAGACTATCTTATAATTTTCAAGTGTCAGTATGGAATTACAACCCTTTACTCAAGAGTTTCCGAACAAACTTGCGCGAGGCATTAAACAACATATTTTAGGCATTACGATTTTTAGACATAATAACGTTTTGGCAATAACAATGTCTAGGCATTCACGGTTAGTCTATTGACGTGTTAGGCATTTCTGCAACAATGGCATTTTGCATGTTAGGCACTTGTTGGGTTCCTTCGATAAAATGATACAATGGACTGTTTTAAAGGATGCTTATAATGATATAATAAAATTCTACAATCTAATATATAAAATTCTCGTGTCGCGGTGTTTGTGGTTAAACTCCTCGGAAACGGCTTTCCCGATTCTCATGAAATTTTGTGTGCATATTGGGTAGGTCTGAGAATCGGACAATATCTATTTTTCATACCCCTAAATGTTAAGGGTAGTCCACCCCTAAATTTTTTTTTTATGATACATCATACATAAATACATACATCCCTAAATTTTCAACTTTCTACCACTAACCCCTATTTTTTATGGCGGTACGAAGTTCGCTGGGTCAGCTAGTAGTAATATAAAATCGCTGTACGTCCGTTCACGCGGTAATCTTGGAAGGCAAGTCGCCGCCACCACCGCCCCGCAACCGCGCGCTGTGGTGGTGGCAGCGAGCACATCTCTCGTGCCTCAACAGTGCTCATAACCGGATTTTATAAATTTCTTATAAATGCAGTTCGTTTTGTTTTTTAAATAAATACGAAGTCTTCCTTCAGCAAAAACTTCTATCTACAGATATTATTTTACAGTATTTAGGGTACTCTCCCTCCACGTGGCAAAGTTTTGAGACGCCTGTGAGTATAACCTGTTTAACTTCCTTTAAAAGTACCATGGTAATAAGTATTGTACCATGATTGTACCTAATTCTTAATTCTTCTCATAGAGAAAGTAAGCATGATTCCTCTATGGAAATTGACACTGTGGTGAAACTCATTGTCACTGCCCATGTAATTAATTTGTCGTCCTCAGAATAATCCTGAAAAATTTATCTTAGATTTTTTATTTGGTGTATTTGTAACTTATCTCCAAATACCAAATTGATTATGACGACCCATCAACCGGATCATTGTAATGCGATCATACCCCCTGAATACTTCCAGGGTCACCAGTGCAGTTTACCAGCGGACAAACTGTGTACTTTTAAAATTAAATGTGCTCGATGGAGAAAGATCATACTGGACTTGATAACTGTCCAAACTAGTGATGCTAGAGCCCGGAATTTATACAAGTGAGTATTCCCGTACCTCTGCAGGCTCCTCTACCAATTTCACCCAGTCCAGAAGCTCTATAAAATGAGCAGGATCCTAGGGCGTTAGCAGGAGAGCTCGTTAATCAAGACTGGTTAGCATGGTCCAGGTGATTCTCACAGTGACCTTTTCATGGAAGATAGATAATTAAAATTAATTGTTCAGACTCCGCTATGCGTCGGTAATGACTTAATTCCTTACTCCCGACTCAATTTTCAGTTGTTAGTACCCATCAATCCGAATGATCATATAATTATAGTACTTAAAATCTCTTTTTGTGTTATTCTGTTAATAGGGAATTACCTTAACAGCGGGGACATTAGTAAGCTAGTAATAATGGTCTACTATATAACTGCAGTATTCTGTTCAGATAGTAAGTTATTTTTGTACCTAACATTAGGGGTGGGCAATGTTTAATGAAATCAAAATATATCTATATTCAAATAAGATGCCTATTACAACTCTGCTGGTTCGTCCTTACTGGCGGTGTAGCACTTAATAACACCAAATACATTTTAAGGTCGTATGCATCATTGTGCTCGGAGAAGTATCGGCATTATATGTACTACCCGATGATCATACATCCCTTCAGCAAACTTCGATTTTGGCTAGAAATGTTGTTCGTAGCTTCCATCGTATTAAGCTACACGGCTTTAGCGGTCCACTACAGTGAAACTTATAGGCGTGAGGTAAGTTCTTTAAATATTGATATAAAAGTTTTTTTTATCATGCCCCTCTCATGCTCGACTGAACTTAAAGACGAATCTGTCCTTCTAGGGTGTGGTTATAACATTCTTCACCATAATGCTAATCATCACTTGCCATTTTACATGTCCTCATTAAATTCCTTCCGAATCATTAACTTTGTTTGCATTCTCAAACAAATTGTTTTAGGATTTTCACGACGTACTTCTACATATCAGTGACATTCTGATGTTGTGTAATATAATAAGCAACTACTGCACGGGCTATGTCGAAGGCGTCACTTGTCAGCGCGTCGTGCTGGATCCACTGAAGATCTTCTGGAAATACTCCACGACGTGGTTTCTACTCGATCTTGCTTCCACTGCGTCTTATGTGCCGCGTTTGTTTACTGTTAAAAGTATCAACTTGCAAATTCTTCTAGCGAGCATGAAGATTTTAAGGATACCTGCGCTCTATCGGTATTTAGGCAATATTAATGATGCTTTGAGGAGCGGGGTAAGCAAGAACAAAATTATTCGGTGAAATACACTTACCTACACTCAAACAATAAGCACTTTTGAAAGAAAAGGCACTAACTGTTGGGCCCGTTGCGTTAAAAATAAGTACCTAAAGGGGTTCTCCTTTCTTACTTCTTATTTACTATTTACCTACCTATACATGTTATTTTTCAGATTTTCCTAAGAACTTGCGTGGAAATTTTTATTTATCACTACATTTACCTTATGTTCAGTGTCTTTATCCAATTCTCTATGGAATACGTTGCGGAGGGGTCTTACTATCCGACAAACCCCAGGAACTGCTCTTGGATATACAATGCGCGCCTGTGGAATGCGTCGACTTTCGATCGATTCGTCTATTCCTTTCATAGAGCTGGTAAATCACTTATGTTACATTTCCAACTAAATCGACACAGCGTTACCATGGAGTACATACGCACGAAGAGCTGCTGTACTCGGTGTAGTACAGCTTCTACCATTATTGCAGAATTTATAGGGACATATTACTCATTCTTAGAAAGAGCTGGCTGCTTGCTTAGTTGCCCTACTCGCTACTAGCGTTGATAAAGAAGCTATTGGTATTCCGAAATGATACCCGCACACCCTCTTAATGACTTCACTTGATTTCTTAGAGCAAACTCTTATGCAACACCTCCTCTTTGTATTTGCTCCGTGGATGTTACATATTATGAATCATCATCATCACCAGCCTAGTAAGTGATTCAATAGTTCATCATTACTGTGGCACAGACCTTGCTTGTGGATGATTGGTGTGGCAGATGCGTCTGCGTCATCGAGCCCCTCACTTCTTACTTATTAGTGCGAGTACCTATTTCATCACTGATAACGGATACCTTTTAAAACATACCACCATCCAATCCCTACTTCTGCACAGGCCTTTTTGGTCACCCATTCAATGCAAGTTACCTAACTTCCATAATCTTACTTCTTCCTTCATCATCTTCAGCCTATTAATGTAGTGGGGCAGGGGCACAAACCTTCCCTGTGGATGGAAAATGGAGATTGTACCGTGAACCACCACGCGGGCCCAGTGCAGATTCTTGAGTGCTAACGATTGCACATGCAGCCGGGACCAACGGGTTAGAGTGATTTCCTAATCACGAATGAGCACGAAATAATAAGATTAAGTATTATTTCGTTCGAAATAATAATAACTTTTTGGTCTCTCATTCAATGACCGACCATTGCGAAAGTTGCGTAACTTTCACGTTCGCAGGCCGAATGCGCTAACTACCTGCGCCATCAAGCTCCTCTCTTCGAAATAGATCTCTTCAAATTGCATGAGTATGTAATGAAAAAATCACTACCAGAAAGATTTTAAGATCATGTCGCGTAATGTTTTTTTCTTACAGTTGGTTTGCTTAGAAAAAATTCAAACTTAACATTCTTCCAACATGGATGCGACGTGGAAATATTTATCATGATATCTTGGACTGTTGGCAAGGCAGGTATCGTTCTAATAGAATTTACATCCATTAAAGTTTAAGTAAAGATAAATTTCATTATTCCCGTAGAAAGATAAGTACGGGATAAATAGAATAGTTTTAAGCAGACACATCCTGGGTGCAATGAGACCAGTTGATATAAAATAAATATACAAAATATTAAATCATCATCATTAGCCTATTAATGTCCCAACTGCTAGGGCAGTGGCCTTATGGATGGAATAGGGAGATCGTGCCATGGCTCACCATGCGGGCCGACTGCAGATTGGAGTGTGCTAACGACTGCACAGCCGGGACAGAAGATATTAAATTTTTGCTCACCAATCCATTGACCGACCACTGCGAAAGTTGCTTAACATCAACGTTCGCAGCCGAATGCGCTAACCTCCTCAAGCATCAAATGGCAATCTGTAATGGATAAAAAAAATATGTATATGCGCGCCAGCTGGACTGAATAAGCAAGCATATCCCCATATTGATATTTCCAGATTGGGAAGGTTTTAAGCCTTTTCTAGGCCGATTTTTTTACCTACCTCGTATTCGTGTTAGAATGGTTTTTATACGTTTGGCCAAATTTTTGTATTCCACAAATTAGAAATGATATGAAATACAAACAGCGCTAACAGTGATTTCAGGCTAACTGCGATCAAGTTTCTAAAAATCAACACGCTGATCATGGGATTGGTTGGGATTTCCGTTTAACGTTATCTAAGCCAATGGATGGATAGCCCAATTCATTTATGTCATTTATGCAGATATTAGATTTGTCAAATTATTATGATTTGTATGTGTGCGTGTCGCGTTAGTAGGTATTGAAGATTAGGTACTTGTATGAGTTTTGAACCATGTTTTAGCGGCCTTTGTTAGAGAGTAATGCTTCCATATTATTTCTAATTCGTTGATGCAATAATAGGATTTCTTTTCGTCTCATTTTAGTTGCTTGTATTCCATTCTGGCTTGAAGTACTTCGTCGCAGTGTACGGTGTAGAATCAGCCGCGTGCAAGTATTACAAGATAAAGAGACAAGTTGAAATGTACATGAAGCAGAGGAGATTGCCACCTAGAATCAGAGAGAAGATACTGAAATTCTACGCCATACGATACCAGACCACTTTCTTTGTGGTATGTATACGTGTCTGTTACGTTACCGGGCCAAGTCATTCGTGCTTTGTTTTAAAACTTTTGTAACAAATATCGCTAGGCTAGTATAAATACCTTTTTCAGACCTAAAATGACAAGCTATGACTGATACTCCACAACTTCATGACGTTAATTATGAAATTAAACCTTATGACAATGCACGTGGGTCGTTATTGTACCATACCCTTAAACGGATATATCATCCGTCATAGAAGAGTATTCAGAACTTCCGTTTCCAAATTAGCCCCAAATAGACGTAATGAGGAATCTCGAAATTGACGAAATGCGTAGTGACTAAATTCGAATTTGACGAAATGCGTAGTGACTATTTAGACGAACTGCGTATTGGATGAACAGCTAATAAATCCTAGTTTAATTACAAATTAATTGTTCTTAATTACTTCTTATATGATATACATATCATAGACAAGTGACAATTTTTCAATTTTTTCATAGATAACACGATAGGTGAAGTCTGAACTACTTGTATAAAATCGCAGGTGTATAAAAACGAAATTACCGAAGCTTATCGATCCCCAATATTCCATTACCTATGTGATAACAGTATTCGATCCAGATCCAGACCTAATATTCTCAGTAAAGCAGTGAATGAATTATCTCCCGCTATTCCAGCAGTGTTTGTACTTTTTCGCTTATCGGATTACAAATATTATTTCGAGTGTTCGTATATGTTATTCCAAGATTGTAGTTTAACAGCTTGCTTATAATACAAATCCTTCAATCCTGCAGGAAGAGCGCATCCTGCCATGCGTGTCAGGCCAACTGCGTGAAGATATAATTATGCATACCGGCCGTCAGTTGATCCGGGATCTGACCTTTATGAAACATCTGCCCAAAAAACTTCTGCTGCAGATAAGCTTTCAACTCAAACTCGTCATTTTCACAGCGGGAGATATCATTTACAAAATAAACAATATTGGTAATTTTTTCTACTAAATCTATACTAATTTAAAGAAAATGCAGCAGTTACATGCTTTAAAATAATAAAAATTATATCTATAGTAATTTTTAGCTATGGCGCAGCAAATTACTCCACTTCAAGAGTAAATGTGAGTATACTCACATTTACTGTTCAAGCCGCTATGTTAATATGTTCTAGATTATCATCCTTTCACGAACCAAATTGATTCGAAAATTGAGGCTTTTACCTGTATTGTACCCATAAATTACATAGAAATGCTCGAGAAAGATTTCTGGTGTAAACTTACCGAAGAAGAATGAGGCGTCCTCATCTTAGTGGCATCTGCTGTGCGCAAAATTTGCTCTGCACTACCTCGTTTAAAAACATCTGACAACTATATAAACACCAAAACCTGTATTTTTCATACATATCTTAGCACAACAGTTCTTAAAGTATAGATAGCACTCTACACGATCTTTCATGGCGAGTGCTTCAAGGAATTGTTCGACTTGATTGATACCAACGGCACCGTATTTTCACTAGGGTCATGTGGGGGACAGTGTAACAAGGGGCACTATGTAACAAAAGGAATATCTTTGTATTATACCCAACCATTTGACGTCTGATGAAAGCTGCATAAGATGGCGGCATATGCAACTAATAAAAAACGTTAACAGACAAATAAAAAAAGGGTAGAGATATTCCTTATGTTACACTGTCCTCTACTTGAGCCTAAAATCCACAACCGTTCGTTTCTTCTTCATCTCTTCTTCCACATACATGTTAAGGAATAATTTCATTTCTTCATTATTTTAGGAGACTGCATGTACTTTATAGACAAAGGCACTGTCGCCGTATACTCGGAATCTGGCAAAGAGATCTGTCACCAAGAAGACGGCGACTTTTTCGGTGAAATTGCGCTAGTAACGAAGCAAAGGTTGCGTACGACCTCTGTGGTGGCTGTCAGCAACTGCGAACTATTCATGCTAGACAGAGAAGACTTCAATAATTCCATTGCCTGCTATCACACCGTGTACGAGCATATTAAAGAGGTCGCCAAGTGGAGGCAAGAGAGAACTAGTGTCATAGACGAACGCCACAAGGCTGAGATGAGGAACTTCGATAAAGATTGAATTAATCAGTATAAATAACTCGTGCCATTAAAGAAACGAATCGTAAATTCGGACGCAATACATTTTTCTCTCTCGCACGTTACTAGGACAGCATGTGTGAGAGGGACAGAATGTTTTACGTTGTCATTTGCGGTTTTTTTTTATTCGCGCGAGTTATAGATACCTACCTAATTAACACTTCGAACATTACGTACTTAGGTTTAGTTTTTAAGCTGCAGCTCTGTAAGACAAAGCTTTATGTAGGTATCGGGCCTGATTTTAACGTAATTCTTTTAACGCACGATATACTGCTTGCAAATTTTGTTTAGATTTATTTTACGAATAAGTATCTTTTATTTAAGGAAAGCGAATAAAACTATTTAAGTTTAAAATCTTGCCTTTATTTAAATAAACCAGCCACCGTAATTTAAGCGTAGGATCGATCATAATTTATGAGAATCTAAAATACTGATTGTGATGATCAACAAAAGTTTAAATATATTACAAACGGACCTGTCATAATAAATTAATATTTTATAACACGTTTACAAACAAATTAAACTTGTCACAACCGTAATGATAAAAATTTAATTTGATAGTTCATAAATATTAAAAAGTAGAGTAAAATCTACATTTGTTTGTAAATAATTATCTCCAAACAATATTTGGGATCATAAAAAATGGAACGTTTGTGCTCATTTCAGTATTAATAAATTTATTTCTAGTCATCGAGCTAAAGGGTCTTATGAAGATAAAAAGATAGAAGTAAGAAAGAAACACTCGACAGATAAACGGACGGATAAGCTGAAGGCCAACGAAGAAATAGGGCTGCGTACCGTACCGTACGGAAACTTTAAAAAGACAAGATATATATTTCCATTCTATAAACCCAAATATTGTTTGTTACTTAGTTTGAATATTGCCATTAGCAAGCACACTGACGCGGCGAAACGCGGTAACAAAATAGCTGTAATCTTTCGTACACTATAGCGCAGAGCAGACCAGAAGAGGCGCTGAATACCGGTCATTCTCAGTACAAGGTCTCCCGCCGTAGTTTTGCGAACCGATGGCGTAGCTTCTCAACCTTCACAAAGGCTTATAACAGCCTAGATTGAATAAATGATTTTTGAGTGAGTTTGATACATACAGCTCAACCGCAGAATAGCCTTAAAAACGCCGTGCTCCGCTCCGTGGCTCTTGGCCGCGTTCGGAGTTGCCACGCATATCTTCGCTGCGCGTAAGAATTTATATTGCATATGAAACGTATGAGCCATATCTCGAGTTATTCGCGAACCCCGTTTTTGCCGTTGATATAGACGAAATTATAGGAAATCACAAACGGTCTATCTGTCCAGGTGCAACATATGCAATATATATTAATCGCATAAAGTATTGAGCATATATAGTGAACGACAGATTACCGCAGTTCCGCTATAGCGTTTAGCTGCGTCGGTGTGCTAAAGGCGAGAATAAAATATTTCAGAAAGTCTTTATGTAAAGGTATATTCCGACCACACCAGATTTTGAAAAACCAACATTTAATAATTCGTTAAGTATAAAATTCTGAGCATAAAATTTGAGATTAAGAATCCAGGAAAAAGAAAACTTTATAATTCATCACGATGCATTGCTTCTATTGCATTAGTTTTGCAGCTATAGCTTGGATTATCGATAGAATCTTGACTTTTATTCTCCCTTTCTCCAAAGAATAGTTCATCAATTGGACCTGGACAGTATTGTTCAAAAAATTTCGATTGTAGTATGTGTTACTACTGATATTTATGAAACAATAGTTTCGATGGTATATCGATAAAGTCAACAAAGAATCGTCACTATCGATAGATCTATTGGACTATCCATACTTCGCAAAAATTGACTTTGAATTGTGGTTAATGTGATCCTTGCTGTCATGGAACGGAAATAATTATAGTTTCTTTTAGGAAGACCCCAGATGCGATCACGTTAAAAGGAAAGGCAAGGTTAAGTTGTAAAAAACCGTGACAAGTGACGTATAGTAAAGGAGGCTTATACCCAAAGGATTGAACGAAGACTCAGACTGAAGAGAGAGAGAGAGAGACAGACAGACGTATAGAAAGTGAGAAATCAGAGTTTATTATACATGCGTTTGTATCATAAAGTTTTCACTTTCCAATGGTAATTACTCATAGTTTGCTGTACATAGGAACACATGATGCAACAGACTCTTGGAAATAAAACAATAAATAATAGGTCAGCCAATACGACACGTTGCCAATTTCGCTATAAAATAAGTAAAATTGTAATACCCAACCTTTGTTTTCATTAATTCAATAAATTATTGATTTATATTAATAAATATATTTTTAAATTGGATACCTATTATGATAGAAGAAAAAATATGTTTTTATGGTAAACATAAAAGCCCTTATTAATAAACGAGAAAAAAGCTTAGACTAGTTACACCGTAATTTGTTCGTAGAACTCAAAAGCAAATTTAAAATTCAATGAACCAAAGACAAAACATGGAGTAACGAATACAAGCTAATTCTTCGTTTATTACTCACTACTAACTAGGCCCTAATTCAATGAAATAAGTACACTCCCCCTAGTAACATTCTAATAAACTATATTCTCATTATAGATTACACGTTTCGGGTTGATAAAATCAAAGAAACATTTTAACAATGTCTCGTATTAACCAGACCTTTCATTTAAATAAATAAATTCTTAGTCTGCTGAATGCGACTGTTTTCTTTTAATAAAACTATTCGTTTATAGCCAATAAGTACACTCATGACTCGCATCACAAAATATGGACGTACCAAAGCAAGCACAGTTACCAAATACTTTCTTAACATACATTTTACATAGAAAACGCTTTGCACTCTATATCTACCTATTTCACGACACTTATGGAGTCGAACATACAAAATGCTATTGTCATCTTATACTCTGAACGAGTTGTGCAGAAATATACATATATAACTAGTGTCATTAAAGAAAGGAATCGCAAATGACGATGTAAGACACTCTGCCCCTTCCGCAAATGCTATCCTAAGTAATGTAGGGCTTACCTGAAGGGAAGCCCTGGGGACGCAGCTTACAGTGACTACGACTGATAATGCTGTAATCTTTCACTTCTTTTATTTAAACTCTGAAATTATGTACAAAAATCTTCCTGTCAACCGTTAGAGTCTGTGTTTGAATTCTATCTCCCAGAATATTCGATATGAGGCAGAAGTTTCTCATATTCAAGTCTTTAAAATAAGGACATTTACTTTTTAATACAACTGCCAGCCGTAGGCATTACATAAGAGTTTATACAAACAAGGAGGGCGTTACGCTACAGGCATTACAGTAACGAGCGAGAGAGACAAAATGTCTTGAGTCGGCATTTTCGAAATGACACCTTTTTTTAATGACACGAGTTATACATTTCTTTTCACACTTAATTGCAAGGAACTAGTTACTTTGACACGTTGACAATAAAGTCGAAAATGCTTGTTACATTCTCAACTCATTGATCCAACGCATAGGCGAAGCGCTCATTGATTTGTCGTTTTAAAAATATCGGCTCTGTCCGCAAAAGTTTGTAAAAAAAATATTTTGCAATCCTTTCGTTCATATCTTAATACTAGAAGTTCTAGCTTAACTACCTATCACAATGTTTAAAATATGCATTCTTTTCAGTTCGCTCTATCTCGGAATCTGTCTAGCTAATACCTAATGGAATTTTTAAACGTAACCGTAGTTGACATCTTGCTGTACGTGGTAATATATCTCGTTCACTTTGTATGGGCCCATAGCGCTGAAATCAGAAAACGATTTGAACCTAAAGTAATTTTTACTAAAAAAAAAACACACAGTACAGGCAGCAGACGGAACTAGATTCCGCACCGCATTTAAACATCTAGCAGTTAAATGCTTAAAATAAAAATATTAAAAAAACTATTTGTAGTTAGGCACCACCTTCACAAAACTGAGTATCACGGCAAAAATCCTATATATGGTTGTTGTATACCATAACTTTATATTTCTAAAAGCTGCAGTAATTTTTTTATCAGAAGAATATTATATTCACATGTTTGTAATCGTATTTGACTGTCAATTTATTAACGAGGGTTTTCTTTAATGACGGGCGATAGGTGGCAGCACTGTGGCAATGTACTCATCCGTCAATACGCATATGTCGTCATAGTCCATGGATCAATTTAAATGTTCGTTCGATTAGTTCGCGCCAAAAACTTCATACAAAAGACTTCACGTCACAGTTTAGTGACGTGTCAATTAGTGACGTTAATTTTCTTAAACACCCTCATTGCTTTCGCCGTGAGTCTATTTGATTGGTCATTAAATGGAGGACATGGAATTATTTATTAACGAAATTATCTCTGTACAGTCAGCAACACATCAGGTTTTGTATGAAAACACTGTATAGGCTGTTCCAATCGAATTTGGACTAACTGTAAACAAACACTTTACCTCTCAATTCCCACGCAATGAATCACTAAATGGATTTCTCAATACATTAATTTGCATTCCTTGGGGTTTGATATATTAATTCACTATCTTTTATAGCACTAATTTCTTTATTAATATATAAAAAATCATAAATAAAAACTGGAGTCGAAAAGAAAGGTTATTTTGGCAGACGGGAATTGTCGGTTGTCTATGGTTGAACAGAGTTGCACCGAAAAGTTTATTCAACATTATTTCAATTGACGTTATTAAGCGAATAGTGAATAAATTCAATAAATGATTATGGGCAAAAAATCGTTTCTTTTTTATCAGTTTTGTTTGATATACTTAGGTATTTTTTTATATGTAAATATAACTCACGCGTCGCCATACGGCCCATACAACAACGTCGGCTATGACGGCGTATCTTCCGCTTGTCGTTTCGTCACCGCCGCTGTGGTGGTGTAGAACAATACGCACGGAGTTTTCCACCACGCCCCGAAGTGTATCACCTCATCCGCAGTCACCGGAACGATGCTATGAAAAATAAAAGAGTATTGACATTAAGATCCAAGGCTCGTTAAGCCGCTAGTCCTGGTTGTATCTGCAATAATAAACATCCTCTAATCTCTATTCAGCTCCATGATGGATCAAGGCCCTGCCTTGCAATGCCATTTGGCACTCGCAAACTATTCGAATTCGATTTTGGTTCGTGCTAGGGGTACAGCACAAGAACTAAAGCATAGAAATAAAGTCGACTCATATAATTAACTTATAGACCAAAAAAGGGATGATGATGATATATGTTGCTATGAGCGTCAAATGGGATAACTTGGTTAGGTAATAATTTGTTTGAAAACCTTTTTGATAATCTATTGTCTATGAAAGTGTAAGCTCAAACGTCTTACCATTACTTCTAAGCATGGAGGTTAGAGAGAAGGAGAACGATCGCTGTAGAAAATTGTCCCAGAAATATGGACAAAATAAGTGAGGCGCTGCGATCGCTAAGTTGTCTCAATAAAAGCGGGCTGTTGTGCGCTAATTTGTAATTTTTACATTATTCAACTAACTTCATCTACTTGTACTCATAAACAGCTAACTTCACAGATATTACTGACCGACAGCAGCGCGGTTGGTGGCTGAAAAATTAACTATAAATTCTACAAATTTTCAGGGACAGGCGGGCTAATGCTTTAAGCACGTAGCGATCGTACTCCTTCTCTCTAACCTCCATGCTTCTAAGCATAAGTTTTTGTTCTGAGGATCTGAATAACATCCCTACTCACAAAAAATCAAGTAAAGTTACATATTATCATATTGGTACATATTATCTCAAAATACATCTAAAATTATACTTAAAAAGACTCGATCAGCAAAACCTCAATAAATTCAGTTAAATTTGCTTAAAATCTGAATAAAAATGGGGTATCTGCGTATAAAGATACGCTAGTAATTAGACGCAATTCGCCGTTGACAAACAGATGACAGCTAATACTTTTGGTTTAAATTAATTTCCTTGATTGTGATTGGTTGAATCGAAATCGCGTGATTTCTGTAGTTAATTGGAAAATGACTATTTACCATAATATACTTGCCATTAACCGCTGAATCGATTTAGTTGAAATTTGGTATAGATAGTTTGAGTCCTGGAAAAGAACAAAATATAGTTTCTATTCCAAAAATCGTCATTAAAGGTGGTGAGCCGAGGGGTGAAAATTGGACACCCGCTAGTCTATACATATAATAAAATGGTAGGAAAGTCAAAACTGTACATTGAATATTTTTTTAAAGAATGCTTGGAGTGTGATCTACAATCGATACCGAAGCCAAAAATATAGTTTTTAGAATTTTTGTTTGTTTGTCCGTATGTATGTCCAGGATAAACTCAAAAAGTACTGCATGGATTTATTTCAAATTTGGCACGAATATTATTAAGAAGTCGGGTCAACATATAGGCTACATACTATCACGCTATGACCTACGGGGAACGAGCAGTGAACCTTTATTTCTAGCTAACTCCACGCGTACGAAGTCGCGGGCGGCCTGCTAGTTAATAATAAATCAAAACAATATCTCACCTTAAGTCGTTGAATAGATGCCATTGGGCGTCTTCTTTACTCGTTTGAACGTAAGCGACCAAGTTCTTAGGATTGTCTTCTACGCAGACTATCGCTGCTGATAGCGTATATTCCTCTTCAGATTGAATGGTCACGTTTTTCTTCTTGTGCTTGCTTTCTGCTCGATTGTTAGGAGTGTGAGGTTCGGTGGGGGACTGGTCAGTTTAAATTAAAAGTCTTTTAAGTATATTTACTATTGTAACGTGATGAAGAATGTGAGGAAGAATTTTCTATAATATTGGTGCAGTCTAAGTACTCCGAGTGTGATTAAATAGTTTTATTTAAGATATAAATTAATAAAATAAAATCTTGTTTTTAAGATTATTTAATTTTCATGCTTGGAAACCATTATGACTTCACAATCGTTAATTTATTAAGTAACCACATATTTTTCAGTTCTATTTAAAATGAATTTGGCTAGTATAGTACGTTACAAAATTACTATCGGTAATCAGATTTTTCAGATTATATCTTTTTTTTTTTTAATTTATTAAGGACAGCCAACAAAGCATAACACAGCGTCAGTGTTAGTAGTTACAGAAGCAGTTTAAAGCTAGGATTAGTGTCGCTTTAATTATAGGTTGCTACGGCATGCGCAATAGGAAGCAACTAAAATTAACAAATTTTATCGTTCAGCAACTATGAGCTAGTTTTGGCCACAAGGCGGCACCCCAGACCAAACTACGTTTCTTTTTTTCTTTTTTTTATCTTAATATTATTAGACGAGTTCGATGGCGCAAGTGGTTAGCGCGTTTGGCTGCAATCTTTGAAGTGAAGCAACTTACGCAGTGGTCGGTAATTGGATGGGTGACTAAAAAATATTACTATCTCGAGCTCCGCCGTGCTTCGGAAGGCAAGTTAAGCCGTTGGTCCCGGTTGCATCTGCAGTCGTTAGCACCCACCAATCCGCACTGGGCCCGCGTAGTGGGTCATGGCAGAAAACTCTCCCTATTCCATCCATAGAGAAGGACTCTGCCCCAGCAGTGGGGCAACATTAATTGGCTGATGATGATGTTAATTTGTTTTGATAATTCATTACCTTGTCGTTAATAATGATGTCACCATCGGATTGCAGTCGAATGAGCAACTGCTGTGGCAACACACAGTGTGAATCTTGTGGAGAATTCTTCGATGACGAGGCCTGGGATGAAGTCGGCCTGGAGTTTCAAATAAATAGTTTATAACTGGTGTCATAAACAATAAATAAATATTTACAACACTCATACCAATTAGCCTAGCCCCAAAGTAAGCACTGTTAGGCTTGGATGCCAGGGTAATGGATAAAACACATATATAACACTTTTTCGTTGTTACGAAAAAGGCTTAAGAAATTAGAACAACAAAACTACAAAAACTACATTTCTTTTTCGGAAAATAAAATATTAGACAATCCGAAATATTTTTGGTCGTTCGTTAAATCTAAAAGAGCTAATGGTGACATTCCCGAGAGTATGGAGTACAGGGGTAGGTCTATTTCTGATGGCGGGGAGATTTGTGAGGCTTTTAACGATTACTTCAATTCGGTTTTTATATCCTCGCGACACACATATTGAATATCCCACCCAGAGTTTTGAATCTCCTGTAGAAATGTCATCGATACATATTGATTTCGATCTGGTACATCAGGAACTTAAGCGGGTCAATGTCAACAAAGGGGCCGGAAGTGATGGGATCCACCCTGTTTTTATTTCTGCTTGCGCCAAGGAACTCGCATTGCCCATTACTATAATTTTCCAGGCCTCTCTTTCATCTGGTGTATTCCCTCAGGTCTGGAAAAAGTCTTTGATTACCCCAATTCCAAAGAACAACATGCGTAAACAGATTGCGGAATATAGACCTATTTCAAAATTGTGTGTTTTGGGGAAGATCCTGGAAAAGATTGTTACTTCACAGATGTCTCTTGTTTTCAGAAATTTCATATCCGAACAACAACATTGTTTTTTTAAAAAGCGCAGTGTGGAAACAAATATGCTTACTTTCGTGGAGCACTTATCGCAGGCACTAAACGACAACTTACAGGTGGATGTCGTATACACCGACTTCTCCAAAGCTTTCGATAAGATTAATCACGATTTGCTAATCAGTAAGTTGGCAGGGGTCGGTGTGCATGGCAGCTTGCTAAGATGGATAAAATCTTACATCTCAAACAGAAGCCAAGCAGTCTGTATCAAAGGCTATTGTTCACAATTCCTACCGGTGCCCCCTGGTGCCCCCCAGGGATCACATATCTCCCCATTGCTATTTTCCTTCTATATTAACGACATCGGACAGTGTTTGAAATATAGTAATCATCTCCTTTACGCCGATGATTCTAAATTTTATAAGGTTATTAAGACAAGTGATGACTGCGCTAAATTACAGGAAGATATAATATCCTTACAAAACTATTGTAAAAGTAATCAACTGTTCCTCAATATTAACAAATGTAACATAATAACTTATACACGTAAAAAAATGACAACTGAGTATGAATATAAACTTGACAATAACACAATTAAAAGAGTAAATAGCAGCATACAGACCACATTTTAAGTCGTGCATTCCGAAGTCTAGGATTTATTCTCAGAATAAGTAAACCTTTTAAAAAAATTATTACGCTTAGAATTTTATACTCTTCCTTTGTAAGGTCAATTCTGGACTACTGTAGCACCGTTTGGAGTCCATACTATCAGGTTCATATCAATAGAATTGAAAGACTACAAAAAATATTTGTAAAACACCTTAATTATCGCTTTAAACATACAAATGAATCATATGAGGCATTATTGAAAGAATATAAGTTATTATCACTTCATAATAGACGTATAATGTTCGATATGATATTTTTGTATAAAATACTCAACGATAAAATAGATTCTTCTGCGCTTTTAAGTAGGATATCTTTCGTGAACCGTGTGCGTATGCCTATGCGGTCCTCTCGCAAGCGATTACTATTTGTTCCTCCACCGCTCACTAAATTATACACGCGAAATTCCTTTATTTATCGTTCCACCAACAATTATAATAATAACTTCAATAACATTGATATATTTAATATTTCAAATAGTAATATAAAGAAATTTCTTAAACTAAAATTAAAAGACAACATCTAAATCAAAATATTTTTGCATGTTTATATGTTTTATCTTCTCATGTATTTTATTTCTTTTTAAGTACAATACTTGTTCTATAATGTTTTTCTGTAACTAATAAGTTAAATTGCTGGCACTGTAGGTCGTCTCTTATAATTTCACTGTAACCACAGAACAATTATATTAAAATGTATGACTGTTTGTAGCCACAAATAAAGAGAAAAAAAAATAAAAAAAAATATATATAAGAGAATGCTATTAGCATTAAGACCGCCTTTTGTACCATTCTATTGTATTTTGGTCAATAAAGTTTAAAATAAATAAATAAGTTTATTTATATAAAAATACATAATAAACATTCATGACTGGAGTACAAATGCTAGTATTCATCACACAAACGTCTGCTCCCACCGGGATTCGAACCCGGGACCTTTCGAGTCGGCGACACCATGAAACCCGGCGTACAATCCACTCGGCCACGGACGTCGTCATAAAGGAAAGGAATCGAATTTGCCGACGCAAGAAATTCTGTCTCTCTCGCACGTTACTTAGGATAGCATGTGTGAGAGGGATGGAATGTTAACGTCGTCATTTGCGATTCCTTTCTTTAATAACGCGATTTATACCAATAGTAATATGTGATAATAATGTAGAATAATCACTGGTTCTGGAAAAGTTGATTTTAACTCTTTTGATTAGTACTGTTTATTAGCTATACACAACGATATTAAATACCCTAGATACACCAACACGAACAAAATCGTGCCCGAAACCTGTCCAAAAGGTACATTGAACGATGCACAGAGCTCCGTAAGATGATCGCGTAGTCAAAATCAACATGAGTCATTATTTAAATAATGAAAGTAACCTTTAGTACATATTGTATAAGGTCTTAAATAAAACGCATGCGTCAAGGAATTCTGACAGTTCGAAATGCAAGCTCGTAAAATTTTACGACTTATTGCTATATGCGGAAGAATTTAGACCTTAGTTCTTTGACTCTACGCGCAAATCTGAACGCGTTGTTAGCAATATAGCAGGCACATACTGCGAGGAAAAGAGACGGCTATATGGCGACGTATAACCGACCATGCATTTACATATCACAAATATTTATAATAAATTAGTTTATAGTTTTTAAAATTTACTTCAAATGCGTTAAATTAATAAACATTGACTAGAGGATACCTGTCGAAAAAACGACACTTTTCGTACTCTAAGTATTATTTTCGCATTTTTTCGCGGAGCTCTGTGGCATCTTGACTTTGTAACGGTCCGCGCGTGACTGTAACCAAGAAGTGCTTGAGTGGAGTTCAAGCACTTCTTGATTGGGACACATTTTGAGCGCTCGTTGTGTATCTAGGGTATTTAATATCGTTGGCTATACACAACGATATTAAAAACCCTTAGATAGCCACATATTCTGACTAAAGTGTAGAGTTAGTGAAGTTAGGTCTTGTAGAGTTAAGGCGTGAAAAGTGAGAAGCAGGCTTGTTTCTAAATGAGATACTCCTAACACGAACCATTATCGAATTCGAATAGTTTGCGAGTGCTAAATGTCAATGTCAAATTGTGTATGGAGACAAGAACATCAGCGCCACAAAGTACATAACTAGAACTAAAAATCAGTACACATTTGACAATGACATTTCGGACTCGCAAACGTTACGAATTCGATATTGGTTCGTGCTAAGGGTACTGATAACCTTTTCACAGTGCGAGTCATATCGTCTCGTCTCAGCAACATTTTACATGACAATGTTTTTAGTTTGGTACGAAATTTTTGAGGAGCTCGATGGCGCGGGTGGTTAGCGCGTTTGGCTGCGATCGTCGAAGTTTAGCAACTTTCGCAGTAGTCGATCATTGGATGGGTGACCAAAAATCTTCTATCTCGAGTTCCTCCGTGCTTCGGAAGGCACGTTAAGCCGTTGGTACCGACTGCATCTGCAGTCGTTAGCACCCGCCAATCCGCACTGGACCCGCGTGGTGGGTCATGGCGCAATCTCCTTATTCCATCCATAGGGAAGGCCTGTGCCCCAGCAGTGGGCACATTAATAGGCTGTTGATGATGATGACTAATTTTTGAGTATCATTTAAGGACCCATGCCAGCGGACCCCATGCATCTAGCATGGGGTCCGCTGGGCATAAGCCACAATCACGCGCGGACCGTTGAAGTCAATATACCGCAGTGCTCCGTGAAAAAATGCGAAAAATATTATATTGCACTTTTACCCTTATGTTAAGGCCGAGTCGAGTGGACCGCATCACTCAGCCTTCGTATTTAGGTACTTTAGGTCGAAAGTACATCGAGCAACAGCCGAAGCATTTTCGATAACTATATTTTATTTACATTACCTGTCTGGATATTTAAATCTAAAGAAAAGTTTACTAGAAAAAAATCCACGCGGACCAGGCAGCAGACGGTACTCAAACCAGCACCCTTTGCTATCCGGGCGAATGCACTGACCATTATGCTACCGCGGCCCTGACGGCCGTGGCTTTATTTTTAAACATCTAGCAGTTAAATGCTTAAAAGAAATAAAAACATACCTGTCTGGATGTTTAAATCTGCAACCTGGACGAGCGCAATGCAGTCCGTACCGGCAAGGTTTACCGCTTCCGCCCCGTTTCGCCACTTCGGGCTGAAAAACACCAAATATCAATATTGTAGGTGAAATTTGGTTAAACACACCTAAGAGGGTTTTGGGTCGCGCTCGGTAGCCGCGAGTCGCAGAGATTAAATAATAAAAGAACTTTTAAGTATTTTCTTTAAAATAGCTATCAATTTTATTTACCGTTTCTTTTTGTGCTCCTTTCACCCAATATGCCTTTTCGTGAGGACCTCCGCAGTTGATAGCAAGTATTGGTGGTAATCTGTAACAATTTATCAATTAAATTTACAGTGTAGTTATGCGAAGAGATGGCACTGCCTTGCAGCTCAAGAAAGGCTAGAAAGAATTCGACACGGCCAACAAGGCCGCGGTAGCATAATTAGTCAGTGCATTCACCCGGATAGCGAAGGGTGCGGGTTCGAGTCCCATCTGCTGCCTGGTCCGCGTGGAGTAGTAGTAGTAATAACTTTAAATAATAATGTTTACTCTATAGAAATCATTCAACTTGTCCCAGGTACAAGACTGGATATCTTTCAAGTAACAAACATCTTTAGATAGGTAGTTATGCAATTAGTTCTAAGAAACCACCGCGTACTACGCTTTCTTCTTATGTTGCTCTGCTTCCACTTGTTAAATATTAATTTTCTAGTTCAACAAAGCCAGATTCGCTTATTTCTCTCAGCACTCCTATTGATAATTTTATGCTTTGCCTGTGCCTACAAGTAAATCCTGACAATCCATCCTTGTGGTGTAAAAACTGCTCGAGATTCATGCCTACTGCAGCAGTTCTCACACCACGTCGGAGTACTGCCAGGTACACTTCTTCATCTAGATGTTTTTATCATTTTTGCTCAAACTTTCCCTGACAGCTAATATTATTATGTAACGATCCTCCATTGCTGTGTTGTAGGGGTGAATCTAGAACAATTCTCACACCACGCTGGAGTGCCTGGCCTCGACGCGAGCGAAGCGCGAACCAGTTCTATGAAATCTACGCTTCCTACTATCAGCACTCCTATTAGTATTTTGAACTTAAACTCTGCTTACCAGATAATGTTGAATGAATGAATGAATGATCACTTTATTGTACACCATGATATTTCAAATTACAATTAATTAAAACTATTACATAATAGTACAAACGGCGGCCTTATCGCTAAGAGGCAATTTCTTCCAGGCAGCCGTATGTTAACTAGACTGTTACATAGAGTGGGAAGTAGATGGTGTCATTTAAAGTGAAACTACCATTATAATAATACTTATAAATAATTATGTTGCTACCTGACGATCCTCCCTTGCTGTGCTGTGGGCATAAACTCGAGCAGTTCTCGCACCGAATCAACCGAGACCTTCGCTTCCTTTTCTAAACGATTTTTGCCTCGGCCTACCAGTAAATGTATTTACCTGACTATCCTCCCTCGCTGTGTAGTAGGCGTGAATCTAGAACAGTTCTCACACCACGCGGGAGTACTTCTCCTCGCCGCGAGCGAAGCGCGAACTAGTTCTACGAAACCGCCGCGTGCTTCGCTTCCCTCTCTAGGCGCACCGGTTGGGTATTGGAGCGCACACGCTAACACTACGGAATCGCGTTCTTCCTGATGAGATAGAAAATGATCTGTCATTTTTTTAATGCTCATTATTTATTTTTTATAACACACACCAATTAGCCTAGCCCCAAAGTAAGCACCAGAAGGCTTGTGTTATGGGATACTAGGGTAATGGATATAATACATAGACTGTACATATATAAGTATATTTTTATAGGAATAAATATTAAACATCCATGATTGGTGTACAAATGCTCGTATTCATCACACAAACATCTGCCCCCATCGGGATTTGAACCCGGGACCTCTCGAGTCGGCGACACGATGGAACCCGGGACCTCTCGAGTCGGCGACACGATGAAACCCGGCGTACAAACCACTCGGCCACGGAGGTTATCAATATATCACCTTCGTCTTATACACGCTATCAACTAACTGCAAATGATAATGGAATACGATCTGCGCCTAAAGTCGTTCCACACAAATCGGCACCAAGTGGGCGGGGCGAAAAAAAGCGATCAGCACACCGATCGTGGAATAGGTTGGCATTTCTATTTAACATTATCTTACCCTATGAAAGGATAGCCGAATTCATTTGCAGATATTTGATTTGTCAAATTATTTTGTTTTGGCTGTGTGCGTATCGCGTTTGTATTGAAGTTTAGTTGTATGAGTTTGCAATAATGTTTTAGCGGCTTTTTTAAAGAGTAATGCTTCCGTACAATTTCAAATTCGTTGTATGCTATTGACAAATGTTCACAGTGGTCAAGCTACCGCAAGTCTACACCCCACCAACGCAATGTTTGCGCAACGTATTTGCATAAGCGAATTTTATGTGAGACAATACGCGCACACATCAATTTTGCTATTGGTGCGAACGTTTGTGCTTAATTGTGGACGATGGTACTTGTGCCCACTTTTGTTTGTTTGTGTCGTGTGGATCGACTTGAAGTTAGGTTCTTGAGAGTATTAAAATGGTCGTCTACGGGCACACCACCTATCAGTGTCGTGTTCGTGGTAGTATCTCTCTTATTTTTGTATTATTTTTTAGTTAGGGAACGAATAGATACAAACTAAATCAAAATTTTAATTTTCAAATTGCCGCGAAAACGTTTCTCTGGACATAATGGCATCCATTGTTATGTGACGTCACACGACTGTCTTCAAAACGTCAAATTATATAATGCAACGTCACTTTAACCGGAAGTTTACTAGCGTGTGACGTCATTTTAGTCTACGCCAATCCCAGATGTTTTCGGTCACATGACCATATAACAAAAAATCATTTGTAAAGTTATTAATTTTAATTATTCTCTCAAAATAGCGAAATCGTTGCTAATATTTTACATATTGTCAAATAGCCTTTTATTTGCATTTCTATCATTTATTTACCCTAGAATCTCATAGCAGAACCCTTACAATGCTTACTTTGGGAGTAGGCGAATTGGTACACACTAAAATATTGATTTGTTCTCTCTTTTCGTTGCACTTCAAACAGCGATTCAATTCAACTGGTTGCAGTCTATAGTAAACAACAGAGATCTCCAACACTTTCCTCTCTGTGTGTCGAATATTTCCAATCATTTATTCACTATATCTATGATAACATCTATGATACTGACCTCTTTATTACACTTCAGGCAGCGATTCAACTGGTTGCGGCCTATAGCGAACAACTGAGAGATATCCGACTCTTCCCTCTCTGAGTGCCGACTGTTTTGTAACTCGTGGTTCTCGTTGCTTAATACCGGCTCCGTTTCACTAACGCCTAACGGACGAAACTATTGTTATAGTTTATACACGACAAACAATCCTTAGATAACTACATGTAACTTAAGATTTGTAAAGTCCACTTGCAGCAGATTTGCTTAAAAATCTCAATTTAAGAAAAACCAAATTTAGCCCGTACGATAATGTCAAATTGCCATTGACGACTTCACATTTTCCTATGGGTTAAAATTAATTTTAATTGAATCGAGATTCAGCAAATTTGCTGTAAGTGGACCTTAATTAAGCAGTTTAATGCTTCAAAAGGTAAATTAAAATATAATAAACAACAATTGCTATTTCTTCTTTCAAGTGTTTAATACTTGTAAAAGTATTTTGTTTCACATTGCGGGACACCAACAATGCAGAGATTTCGTAGCATAATTATTTAATGCGTCTACCGGATAGCGGAAATTGCAGATTCGAATCATGTTTCATGCCTAGAGCGAGGTGATTTACTTTTTAGTGTAATTTATATTTAGTATATCTAAAAGTGCGGCCGTAAAAACCATAGAACACACAAAAAGAGGTAAGAAGGGTCTTGTGAGCGGGGCAGGCGCGCCACAGTTATGTGTGAGCAACTGCTCATAACTTGAAAAAAAAAATGGTTCTGATTGCACCGTTGCTCTTGGGTGTGATCGTTAATAGGTTTGATTGTTTGTTGTCTCGGCGTTTGCTTGGCTATTAGCATAGGTGCAAGTGTAGTGGGGGCGAGCCGGAGACATCGGTTCCCGTACAATCAGTTTAGGTTTCTAACCTCTTTCTGAGTTTCGTGGTAAAAACATACCAACAAACTCTGGAAGCCCAAATATTGCTGCATGCAAAAAACAATACAATTAAGTATTACGTAATAATTTAAATATGAGTTATTTGTAACTTGCTTGGAATCATTCTCTGTTTACAGAAACGAGTTATTGGAGCGCTTTCTTTATTACAAAAACGCCCAGGCACGGAGAACAGTTACACAAAAAACAGGGCTATCGCTGATCGAAGTAACGATAGCAAAAAATATCAGTGGCGCAGTGGTTAGCACGTTTGGTCTGCGTTTGTAGGAGTTAATCAAGATGGGTGACCAAAAATTAACCATCAGTTCTTCCGTGCTTCGGAAGGCATATTAAGAAATTGGTCCCGGCTGAATATACAGTAGTTAGCACTCACAGCCCACCAATCTTGTAATGAGTTATGGCCCCTTCCCTCCATTTCCACCAATGAAAAGGTAAGTTTACAACTAATGATGATGATGACATCTGACCTTCTTCTCTTACGGGCCAGCCATCTTCTCTTATCTCCTCCTGATCAAACTCAGTTGAAGGGCCAAGAAACTCTATTTCAGTATATTGATACTCTTCACAGAACTGGCCATTCAAGTTTGGTGTTGCCAGATTACTAACAAGGGGCTTGGTGTTGCTAGCTCGCGCTTTCGGCGGACTACTGTTTTGTGCGAGGAGAGCAAGTTCCTTCTCTTTCTTTCGAGTCTCTAAAATCTCGTAGTGGATTTGATGCAGAATGAAGCGATTCCAACTCTTAAATGTGAACGATAAAAGTAAGATTTAATTAATACTAAGAAATCTGGATAGAGTTCCAAATCTCCAAGTGATATGTAAAATGGAAAAAAAAATCACGTCTACAATTTTTAAGCCATAATTAATAAAATAGGTATCATTAATTATCTAACTTTAATCAGTGCCCGTAGCATGACCACCACATTATACATTTTTTCATGTTTTTTATCGCGTCTAACTGTCAAACTCCATAGTAATTTGACAATTGAGCCCAATTAAAGAGAGCTATATCATATTGTAGTGCCCATGCTAAGGGAGCTGGATTAAGTCTAAAACACCAAGTGATATGTAAAATTTAAAAAATCGTTTACAATTTTTAAAGCAATAATTAATAAAAAAGCAATAATTATCTAACTTTATAAACTGGCTCTCCTAATATAAATAGTAATCTGTTAGTTATATAAAATCATCAGTACACCTGATTACAGAAACTTTAAAAAAAACAATGAGATTAACTTTTGATTGGAAAAATCCAAATACATAACAAATATACCTCATTTTACCTGTATCAGTGCGATTAGATCGACTCTTGCATCTAAACCCCGGTCAGGCAAGATAAGCCCTAGGGCAGCCGCTTCAGGAACGGTTCTAAAAGCCCGAAGAAAATTACTAGCTTGACAGGGAGAGCCCCCTGATGTATCCAACATTCGGAAAAGGAAACCTGTAGGGCATTATGGTAATATTAGATCCAATACTAAATGGTGCTTCCCAGTAACATCAGATTTTGGATAGCTATTTTTTAAAGTTAAGTTGATCAATTTTATTATATAACCGTATTCAGTCAACAGACCTCAGTACTGTGCAAGTGCGTGCATTATGTAATAAAATGATGGGGGCAAGCGAAAAAAAAAATACGCATACTGCCGACGTCATAAACTGTGGCGCAAATGCAAAACCTTTAGGTATAAATTAACATTAGGTGTAATATGAGCCCACAATTTTGACAAATATGCGATCAGCGTAGCAATAATGGTGTAGTTAATATGTAATCTAAATTCGTAAGGTACAGTCTTATAGTGCTATATCAAATAATGTTATGTATAAACTATTGTATAGTAATATTTTACTAAGGATAGAAAATTGGGAATAGCAGTTAAGAATAATGAGTGAAGAATTGATTGAAAATTATCACCTAATTCACAGCTAAGACAGAATTCTTTGGCACATGTGTGCGCTAGCAGTGTTGATTTAACAGGTTGCGTATAATACAGCACCTGAAAACATAATTCTGTTATTAATAGGTATTTTATCTTAGAAATATTATACAGCTTATATTACTTAAATGTGTTCAAAGTTAAGCGTTTCTGATTGATTGATTATGAAGTTAAAAATAAAACAGAAACAAAAGAAGAAAAGCCTTGTTTAAAATGAATAATGTCAAATTTACATGAATAACATAATATTAAAGGAAAAACATATATGTATATTCAAAACCAGTACAAATTGTCCTTGTAATACTAGGTTCCTAACACACATTAATAGAAAAAAGTCATTGCTTTTATCATAAATATTAATAAGATCTATATTCGTACTACGAGTATATATAGTGTAACGACCTCAAAGTGTTCAGGTTTGTTCAAAAATCCATAAATTTGTACATAATTAGCTACTATTTCCACGCTTTACCTAATATTAAACTACTTGACCGTCACTGAAAGCTTTATATTGAGATAGCACTTCCGTTTCCCGTCGAATTACCATCAGTTTCCGTACTTTTATTCACCTTGTATCCGGTCCAGTGGCGACACCTGGCAGAAGCGCGGCCATTTTTGTTTTCCTAAGTTTTGACAGCGCCATATTAACTAATTGGTGTTCTGACTCCCGTCGAAGCAACACGTGCTCAATCTGAGCGATCGTTGTGCGATTTTAAAGGTTTTATTATTATTAAGTGATTAAACTGTAAGTAAAACTATTTTATTTAACGGTTTTTGCCGTTCGTGTTATTCCAAATAGGTACTTTACGTATTAAAAGTGAAGGAACCGTAAGTAAAACGTATAATTCTTTTTGATATTTTTTGCAGCCCTTGTGATAAGGGATATTTAAAACAAATATGTTAAATTGTGCAATACGCTTGTTTGAAAAAGTAATAATAAGCCGTGAGTAAAACTTAACGGCAATTCAAGGTGCGTTTTGTTTAAAAAATTAAAGTACATACATTAAAGTAAATTTTGCAATACTTTACGTCTGTTTTGGTCGTTTATCATAAAAACTATTTTAAGAGTGTTTTCTCTTGGTACGCAATTAATGTTTCCGTATAAGTAAATGTGAAAGTAAATTGGTAAATGTATTACAAAATACTTAATTAAATTGTTTTATAGTTTAGAGTGAAGGAATATCGGTCAATATTGACGTTTCAGCCGCCGACTGACTGGCATTATTGGCAAAAACAGCAAGATGTGTGGATCTAGTCATTATTGTTCTTCGAACAGCTGCAGTAATAATTGGTTGAATTTGTCGTCTTCTGGTATAACGAAAGCGGCATCGCTGCCTCAAGAAAAATAAGCGAGCTTGATATTCCAGCCCTTTTATTAAAAGATTGTTCGAGGGGTAAGTGAACAATGTACAATCTTAATAAGGTATTTCTAATGTCGATATGCCGTTTTCTGAACATGGCCAGCTATCAATATGTAAAGGCTTATGAATAAAAAGTTCTAACATTTTTACTGACCAATACACGTAATAAAAATTCTCATATGAGTCGTGTGACTAAACTAGGATAAAGGAACGCTCTGTTCGAAAGACATTCAACGTTTATTTTAAATGATATACTGATGTAAATTAAAAATTATAATCATAGTCCAGGCTTTATCAACCTGGAAACAAACAACGAGGTAAAGAAGTATGAAGATAATTTATGATATATCACGTTCCTGACATTAATTTTCTTACAGCAATTGCATATTTTTAAAATAAAAATGAATCATTGCGGGAAGGCACCTGCTCAGTTAATTTTAATAACGAAAGTGATAAGATAACAGAATCGTTTCTTAGGTCTTTTACAGCTAGCACAAAGCTAAAAAGTAAAAACTAAAGCACTGCAAGAAGTTAGTGATCTCTGTGATGAAGCACCTCTTAATAAGATACCATCTATGAGGTTGTTTTTATCGTATTAAGTAAGTATTTGTCATGGATTTAAGTGATTGACATTTCATCAACCTAATGAGCAACTCGCGCAGAGGCAAGTGATATTCATAAGCTTCATCTCATGAAGCCCAAGGCGTGTCAGGACATGCCCTCCCATGGCGTACCTACACATATGAGTACCGGTGGCAAATCACCCTCGCGGGGTGCATATTATATATAATTTGTTTCCACTACGTGGAATTTTATTAAATGCCTCTAATGCCTTGCCTACATATACGAGTACCGGTAGCAAATCACCCTCGCGGGGTGCATATTATATACAATTTGTTTCCACTACGTGAAACCTTATGAAATACCTCTAATGCCTTGCTTACATATACGAGTACCGGTAGCAAACCACCTTCGCGGCGTGCATATTACCAAAACTCTGATGACCGCCCCTCGCGGGGGCATATTATGTATAATTTGCTTCCTCCGTATGGAACTCATTATGAATAAGGACTTGCCTTCCATGGCTTGCCTACACATACAAGTATCAGTAACAAAACATCGTTGATAGAGAAATATCCTCATCAATCTTATAATCGCCCTTGTGGGGTCATATCACACATAATATATTATTTCCATTACGTGAATATCAATATATGTTCTCCTTAGAACATGTTAGCTTATGGAGTTCGTACTATTATGTAAGCACCGGTAACATACGACACTCGAGTGGAGCAAATTATGCATAATTTAACATGTAATCTATTCGTGATTCATAATTTATTTTTGTGACCATGGGGTCTGTAAAAGTGTAAACGATTAGAAACATTAAAAATAAGTAAATTGAAAATATAATAAATGTCGCTTGACATAATTCATTACTTCCATCGCGTGGAAATCCATACATCAACGCAACGCAACATACCCGCTCATGGCTTGCGTACACACATAAGTATCGGCTATAAACTACCCTCTTAATAGACTATAAAGATCGAACATCGAATGTTGACGTACCCCGTTGGGAAGTGCAATGTACGTGGTTTTTAAGGTGTCGCATACTCCGAGGTCTTGGGTTCACCCCGGTGGGGCAAATCATTGTATGATAAAAACGAGCATTTGTGCCTAAGTTTTGGTTGTTAACAAATATGAATTCAAAATCTAATCTAATAAATTCTAATCTATGCATCATCATTATGCATTTCTAGGCGTTAGCCCATAACACAAGCCTTTCAATGCCCATTATAAGGCTAGGCTAATTGGTGTGAAGTGTTGACTCGATCACTACGGTTGTTCTACCGTAATATATAATACATTTCAAAAGAAAAAGGAATATCGAAACAATTAATGTTTGAAAAAATTTAGTGCAGATAAGTTGATAAATTGGGAGCTCCATAAATAATTCTTAAATAAATTTAATGGTATCGCATGCCATTCAAAAGCTTGTTTATCTAAATCCAATATATATCAAACTCCAATCTCAAGTGCAGTACACTATAAATATGTAAAGAATTCTAAGTTTTCTGCAATTTAAGGACTATCTGCCAAATAAATAGAAGATAACATATTTTCTCTTGAAAATAACAAAAGTAAACCAAATGGGTTGCTCACTCTTTTGATCGCGTAATGAGAGAAACTTGCAATATTAGAAATGTCGTGTATGTGGTGTCTGAGGTGGCCAACATGATCATTTTGATATATAAGTGGTGCTAGTTACTGAAGAAAGATTGCACGATCTACCAAATTCTTGAAAGGTTTTGAAGATCATTGTATGCAATTATCCCCTTTATGTTATTTTAGTAAAAATTACTGAAAACTGTTCTTAATATTAAACATACGCTTTCTAACCTTGCCACGACTGTCTGGAATAAATATACTTCAAACCCTACGCATAGTACATACACACCTCATGTAAGCTGTGTAAATCTTATAAATAACTAAATCTTTATTTAGTATTTAGTATTAAGTAATACATATAAATGACTCAGATCTAAGAACTGAAAAACAAAAGGAAAAATTACAATCAATTATAGATTCCAGGATGGCAAATGAATTTCATAAAATCTGGTTTGAACTTCGTAATAGCATAATTTATCACGGCAACCCAGCAACAATATAAAAACTATACCAGAGAATTTCGTTGTACAAACGTAAACTTCAGAAGTTGATCGGTTTCAACATTTTTGTCATTCCGTGGGGTTGTATCAACCACTCCCTACTTCTAACAATAATTATGAATTCACTGTAATCAACCTTGCAATCACTTCCCGCCAATCTAATATGAAAGCTTGGGAAGTATAGTTGAAGAACACGGCACGATATGCTAGCACTACGCTTTTCAACATATTCTACAAAGAGCGACAGCTCTGTCTTAAACAGCTATGAGATGGCTCGGAAACGCTGGCTTGCGTGGTTGCATTGGTCTAGGAACAAGAATGTTTATCGGAATAATCCCGCAAGTTGTGGACTCGGCTCTGAGCTCACACGATTTTTGAGAGACTTATTTTTAACTCGTGACTTATCTTAAAATAAGTACCATTATTTTAAATAAGTCAGTAGTTTTTACATGATATACCAATGGATGATAAGTCTAATTACCTAAACTCACCTGTCTTGGCAAACACATATATTGAAGTCTATTGTTTTTAAAGAATCAGTCCGTAACCTACTATTCTGTGTCTATAAGTTAACTTATTTCCTTTTCTTCAATAATGTACTCGTTACATCATAATGATCTGTTTCAAATACTTAATAACGTCATACAGTAATTATGCTGCGTATTATTTGGTTCAGCATGTGGTACACATGACTTGTTCCTACTTCAAATTATCCCGAATCATTGTATTTGTACCGACGAAGATTAGTTTAGCCTTGTTTTGGTTCAAAACAGGTGAAAGTAGTTAAAGACAATCCGATTGGTGACTTTACCGAATAATAGTAATCGTAAGTGGGACCCTGATTTTTGGTACTTAATTAAAAAGTACAGTCTTGTGAAATGTAAGACTCGGTATCTAACAACTTTACATCTTTTTCTCGCGTTCGTACGCCTTATTTGTGATATACAAAGATACAAATGAATGCTACACAAGGAAGCGTCCGGTCATAGTTTTAAGCAAAGGAATATAGCGATCAGCTAATACATATGTTAAAGCAGCTTCGTAAGCTTGAAGAAATTAAAGGCGTGATTCAAATAATATTATTTGATTCATTTTTAAGCTTACTCGTTTCTTTATACAGTTTCATATAATCTGATAAATGTTAATATTTAAATTTATCATAAATTGTCACATTGGCGTATATATCTATGTACGTGGCGATCACCAGGCGATAACAAACAGGTCTCAATATAAAGCTTTCAGTGACGGTCAAGTAGTTTAATAGCAGCATTTTACCTGAAATAAAATGCATATTAAAATACTTACCTCACTGAAAGCTTTCACTTTAAATCTGCCTGGTGAAATAATTGAGCCAATGAGTTAATATGGCGCTGTCAAAACTTAGGAAAACAAAAATGGCCGCGCTTCTGCCAGGTGTCGCCACTGGACCGGATACAAGGTGAATAAAAGTACGGAAACTGATGGTAATTCGACGGGAAACGGAAGTGCTTTCTCAATATAAAGCTTTCAGTGAGGTAAGTATTTTAATATGCATTTTATTTCAGGTAAAATGCTGCTATTATCTTCAAATTAATTATAGTTTTAATGAAAATAAATTGTGTAACTATTTGTTTGTAAAGTAAAATTTGATTCTCATTCTACCATAAACTTTATACCAAACAATTTAAAGTTCCTAGTAATTAAAATACAAAAATTTTAGTAATTCTTATTAAAGTAACATTGAAATGAACTCACCTGAAGCATGGAATTGCAATAGGCATTCGGCATCGTAGATTCTAGCCCTGGAAAACCTGTCTTATTGCAATTCTCCAAATCGATATCGTTCGGTCCATGTTTGTTATATCGCAAATCCATCTAAAAGCAATTACAATAGAGTTGATATTCGAATAACAGGATCAACAATCTTCAATAATATTTTTCTACCTTCTGATAGTGTTTCGGTATGGGCTGTGGAGTGTATCTATTTTCGGTTTGTTTCAAAGCATTCAAATCTTCCAGCGTATCTTCTACATAAGGTATCTAAAATATATAATTAGCTTAAAAATTATGTTACAAAACCGTAAAAATATCTAAGTAAACTGAATTGTTGTGAGACAATTTGTTTAGTAAATTAATACTTACCCCACGACAAAAATTATCGATTGGCGACTAACATAGTCATATAGTCGTAATGTTTGACGTCTTTTTATTACAACTAAATCAAGATACCTGATTCCTTCTAGAGTTTCTAGGGTTCGGCGCATATCCAATGGGACCTTGCATTTTCATCGTTTTGAGAACTTCGGGGTCGACTGGTTTAGGTTTCCTAAAAGTGAATAAATAAATATTTCACACACACACCAATCAGCCTAGCCCCAAAGTAAGCACTGTAAGGCTTGTGTGCTGGGAAACTAGAGTAACGGATAGAATACATACACAGGTAATTTTTATTTAGAAATACATATAAACATCCATGACTTGGGTACAAATGCTCGTATTCATCACACAAACATTTCCCTCACCAGGGTTCGAACCCTATGAGTTGGAGACAACTTGAAAACCGGCGTACGTACAACTCAAAAATTTTATTTGAAAACAAACTACGGTTTACAGACCTTACCAGAAACAGACCTTGTTGTTAAATGTACAACGATGCAGATGGCACTACCGCAGTCATTGTCAGTGTGAAAGAAAGATTTTCTACAGCATGATTTACCTATAGTTTTTCTTGAAGAACTCTGGTGGCAACTCGTTGAACCATTTAGATCCAGAACTTAATGGTGGTAATGGCACAGTCGAAAACTGAAACGTGGTTTCTTTGAAGCTCACGTACGGTAAGCCGACCACTTGATCTGCGAATTCTGTTGCTCTGAAATGCAGTCAATGGGTGAATATTGGGAGGATTAATGAGGGAAAAACTGCCAATTTAGCCCGCTAGAGGCGCAGGCGCAGCTGTTAAAATCACAAGAAAAACCGACAAATTCCGATAGACTCGAGCTGCGTTCTTAAACTACTCCAGGTGCAATAATTGTTAAATTTGACATAAATTTCACACATTTTATGACGATATTGAAACGTCGGGGTAAAAAGTTACACTCAAAGCGTAGGTTTGGAACGCAGCAGCCTCGAAGTGACAGGTTGCTTGCTAAACGACCTAAGCCATCTGTTATGTGATTTGCGTTTTCTTCCCCATTATAACCAGCTTTAATTGTTATTGGGATACAACTATTAGCCAACAACTTGATTATGCAATCTTTATTTGTAATTTTTTTTAGTTTGCCAAAGTAAATATAACTTTAATAAAAAAAACATTAGGCACAAAGTTATTAGCCGTAATATTAATGACACTTGGGCCGATGCAAGTTAAGTTTTCATTGTTATTTGTTTCTTAACTATTAATGCACACCACTCATTAAGACATACTTAAATTGCTTAACGGGTTCAAAATGATTTTTTTTGCCATTTTATTACTTTTGTGGCGTTTCGCATCCTTTTTCAAAATTATTATATTATATATGTGCGTAATTGTTATTTTCAGAAAAAATATGACATGCACAAAGTTGTGAGAAACAAACATATTTTGAAACATCAAAAATGCAATAGACTATTTTAAAAGTTTTTAAAACCATCATACTTTATTTGTTAGTGTATAGTGGCTCCATAAAAAGTGGATAATATCCAAATTTTATTTATTTAGATTCTGATGTGTATATCATTTTAGGTTGCACCAATCGCAAGCGTTTCCGGTCGCGTGACAATAGATCAAAATCATCATCTCACCTTGAGAAATTGTTAAATACAGGCTCATGGTTGTGCTGCGGCGAGAATAGGTGTAAATGGCCAGTCATATCTCCGAACACGAGGGCTTGGCTAGTGGCAGACACGTCCATTACACTCACTGATAGGGAACTTTGCGTATCCACCTAGGGAAAAGGAAAGGTAATTCTTTATCCACTTAGTATAGGCCTTTTAGAATTACGTGGTAATTTGAACGAATGGATCTAAATAATTTAGGATCGCTTACAGGTTGTGAGGTCGCAATACTACTAATATAATTCCTGAAAAAAGTTTTTTTTGCATTCAATAGAGAAGATCATTCTATAAAAAGCACGATAACTCTAAAAATTCTCTTCCTCTCTCTCTCTCTCTTTGTCACAGCAGTCTCTAAGCAGTGTATATATATTTGTCTATCTCTCTCAATTTTGCACAACTTTTGTCTCTCTCAGCAGTGTCTGCATGCAAGTCCACGTGGCCGTCGCCGGTGACGGCTACAGCCCGCCCCGAAAAGGCATGCAAGTGTAGCAGTAGTGACGGCGAAGCGGTCTGTAGCGAACACGCGGTCTCACCGCCTGTGTGTTAAAACTCTCCCTTTCTTTCTCTCTCTCTCTCTTTCTCACTCACTCGTTCTCTCTCACACACTTTTTCGCTATCGCACGCCCTTGCATTTTTCTCCCTCTTTCGCACACATTATTTTACACCCTAACTCTCTCATAATCTCTCTCACATTCTCTTTGGCTCTCTAAACATTCTCTTTCTCACAATATACTTGTCGTTCTCTTTCAATTTTGAACAACTTTTGTCTCTCTCAACAGTGCATTTGTGTCTGCATTAGTATGTATAATTGTATGTCTTCAAAACTCACCTGAAACACGGGCAAGAAGGTGTAGCAGCAGCGGCAGCAAAGGGGTCTGTAGAGACCACGCGGTCTCACCGCCTGTGTGTATGCCTCCTAAGAACTCTCCCTTTCTTTCTCGTTCTCTCTTTCTCACTCCCTCGTTCTCTATCGCACATGCTTTCTCTCTCTTTCACACACTCTATTTTTCAACTTAAATCTCTCTTTAACTCTCTCACATTCTCTTTGACTCTTTAAAAATCCTCTTTCTCTCTTTGTCACAATATATTTGTTTTTGTCTCTCTCAACAATGTATTTTGTCTCTGCATGTGTAGTATAATTGTGTTTTTAAAACTCACCTGAAACACCGACTGGTTGGCGGCCGGCTGGTTGACGTGCAGCAAAGCCACGTGGCCGTCGCCAGAGACGGCTACTGCCCGCCCCGAGAAAGCGGGCAAGAAGTGTAGCAGCAGCGGCGGCGAAGCGGTCTGTAGAGACCACGCGGTCTCACCGCCTGTGTGTGTGCCGCGTAGGCAACGCACGTCCCATACTACAACGTATGGCTCGGCTACGGCAACGCCCGCACTGGAAGTTAGAGACTGACGTCACGTATTGAAAAATAGATCGTAACTAAGCGGTTAGTTTTGGCTTGTACTATAGATACAATTAAAGTGAATTTATGGTCATTTTCAATAATCAATCTCCAGTAAAAGGTTAGGATTGTTATTATAATAAAAATAATAAAAATAGATATTTTTATTTGAATAAAGCAACAAAATTTTAATAGACTTTCTTGCTGAATTTTGAATATTGGAAATGCTCCTTAGTTACTCGATGTATGTACTAACAGCCACGGACCAAAAAAGGTTCGTAACGTTTGTCTCCTAAAGGTGGCTGTCTCACCGCCCGTGTGTATGCCACGTAGGCAACACATGTTCCATAATAAAACGTATCGCTTGACTAGGGCAACGCCCGCAATAGAATTTATAGTTTCAATAATCAACCTTCAATAAACAATGCGCAGGTTTCAGTTTAGTGACATCCAGAGCGCAGTAACATTATTCTGCATTTGGCTTACTGCGCCGCGACTTGCGCTAACTTTGCAGCTACCATTGAGCTCGATTCGTACTATAACTCGCGTCAGCAACTAGTCGCGTAATGACACGGTTCGTCAACTAAAGGTGCTGCTAACATTTAAATAATGTGATATGGGAGACAATTAAAAAAAGCAATAGACAGTTTCCTAGAAATCTAATAATCATACCTGCAATATTTGAGTTCGAAAAGATACTACTTGAAAACCAAGTGTAATGCAGGCATTTCACTTGGCTATTCGTATTTGCTATATGTAAACTTGACAGCAGTCTGTTCTTATTACGCTTTATGAGGAGTGAATAGGGCAGACTGATGTCAAGTTTACAAGTAGCAAACACGAATACCCAAGGGAAGTTTTATGCCAGATAAAAACTTTACAAATAATTTTTTACACATTAAAAATTACTTACGAATCTGCAAAACCACATGAGATCAGCAAGTCTCCCTGCATGTCCAAATCCGATAAGCATGCATTGTGAGCCCTGAATGTATGTTCTGTAGCTTTTGGGGACCTTATGTCACGCAATGAGACCATCCCATCGGCGCTACCACAGGCCACTAATGACCCGCCTCCGCTGCGGAGGACGGCGCAACCTTCTTCTTGAATTGGCTGTATTGTAGAAAAAAAAACTTTAAAAAAAATGTACAGAAAAAAAAAGGTTTGTTTCATAAAGAACTAGGGCAAAGACAGTAATGAATATTGATCAACGTTAAACATAGTTTTTAAGAAATAAGACAATATGTGTAATACAAATATAAAGAAGAAGCTGAAGTAGTATAAGAAGAACCTTGTGTCATTAGAGAAATAAATTACAAATGATGACGTAAGACACTCTGTAATCCCTCTAGCACATGTCCTATCCTAAGTAACGCGTGACAGAAACAGAATGTCTTATGTCAGCATTTTCGATTACTTTCTTTAATGACACAAGTTAAAGATTACTTCTTTACACTTCTCTACCACAATCATATATCAAACCTATATGAACCTATACAGAAGTAAAATAAACTTTTCAACACATTTGCTCAAAAAATGCATTTACGTAGGTTGTACACATTGTTCGAAAATTCATAATTACGGGTCATACGGCTGAGCGTGCGGTTAAAATTCATTACGCACTACCCCCATACATGGCGCCGTGGGTATTATTTAAGGTTTCTTTTTTAAATTCAATAGCACCTCCTCGTAAGCGCTATTAGTCAATACATATGTCTCTCTTTCATACTAAAAAGAAAAAGAGACGAAAGATGTAGTTCTAATTTTAAGCCACCCTCACCGCAGAAATGCGCGCAAATTTTCTTATTACAAAAAATTTGCTTCATTATTTAAATTATTGATAATGTTTGCTCGCCAATATGTTGAAAAACGTTGTATGACATTTGCGCAGATTGGTATTACTAAGTCGTGACTATGTTAGTAGGCCTCGACTTAACCAACTTACAGCACTTGTATCATAAATAACTATTAAAACTCCACTATTTTCTTTACATTATAAACATATCATCATTAATATAGATATAATATTAATATACAGTTGGGTCTCGCTAATCCGGATAGGGAAAAACAAGACCCATTCCGAATTATCGAGGCATCCAGATTATGGTATGCAATTTTTTAAAAGGAATAAAACACGTTTTTAACTCGGGTTTCATATAGTAAATTTTTTGAGGCAACTTAAGACAAGAATATATACCTGTGACATACAAATGTACTTATAAAAATTCAAACATGTAGTACCTAAGAAATTTGCGCACTACGCATTAAATAAAAAAGTAACAATTAGGTTTTGAAAAAGTCAGTAATATATCCCACCTGCGATCATCTCGCCTGTCCGGATTACAGCGTGCACCGAAGTAATTGGGGTCCAGATTAGAGAGACTCTACTGTAGATAATTAATCAATCAAAATATAATCTGGTGGAGGCTACTTACCATCAGGTGGGCTATATGAAAGTTTGCTTACCACAAGTTTACATAAAAAAAAACAATGACTTACTATTACTATCTCCTTCATCTTGGTCAAATCTAACTCAAGCAATTTATCTTGATGACCACCCATCAGCAATTTAGTTGTGCTAACTTGGTACAAACATTGCATATCAGTCATGTTTGCTGACCTTAAAAGATATTTTAAAATATTTAAAAACTATTTTTCAGCAATGAACTGAAAGTCATTATATCAATTATAAACATAAATAAGGTAGAATAGGTAGCAGCCAGCTTCTTGAGCAAAACCACGAAAAAATAAATTTTTAGACATTTTTGTACATAAAATAGCTTCTGGGCAGTGTTTCTCGGCTTTGGTTGTTGCTGAAGACATTTGCCAGGGTTTATGACCAAAGTTAAAAAATGTGTATATACATAAATATGTGTGTGATGAGTAAAATTTAACCTACCAGTCTGATATGAAGGTATTTGGAATTATTACAGTAACATTATTTTTAAAAGTCCTCATCAATTCTAATAATAATCACACAGCAACATGGCAATTGCTTGAACCATAGAAAAAGCTACTAGAGGATTTGGTCATAGTGAAGAATACCAGACTGACTAATTTAAGACTAGATCAGATACATAATGGTGTCAATTCTAGCTTGATTCTCTTAACCTAAAATTAAATTTGAAAACAGTTCCTTTTCATTCTCTATACAAAATGAAATGGAAAGATTAATTTAAAACTTTGTTCTATGTTTAGAGAACCAAGTCAGAATCGACACCAATATCAAACAAAAAATCTTCATGAATACTGGATAAACTTGATACAGGCACTTTGCCTGCATTATATACAATAAAATATTTTTGTAAGTTTGAATTGGTAATTAAATAAACAATCACTTCGTAAATTAGTTGGAGTGTGATGGGACTAGCTTGTTATCTCTATTGCATTAGTGTTGGTCAAGGTGTCTTTCTATTTTCATATTTCCTCCTTTTTGACCTGATTTAGAGTCTTGAAATTTACTAAACTGAATAATTTGATTAGAATTTTTGTTTTAGATTTTAAACTATGTAACCAGCTAAGTAATAAGAATAGTCTACTGCAGTGGTTCTCAAACTTTTTAAATGACGGAACCCTTTTGGGAAGCAAAATACTTGATGGAACCCTACAATAAAACAATTATTTTTATAAGTGTATTCTATATTAATCAGCATAATAAAAGTACAATGTATCCGTTACTAATTATTATTTACTTCACCACTTGGTAAGGACAATAATAGAAAACATTAAAAAAGAAAAAATCTAACTAGTGGGAGGTATGAAACTGTTTTTTATTTTTCATCAATTGCTTGATATCAGGTTTGATGGAAGAAAGTTGGAGTCTCATATCAGCTTCGGCGTCCAGTCTATTGCGATATTTTGTTTTCGTGGCTGCGTAGGTAGAGAATCCTGTTTCGCACAAATATGTAGTTGGGAACGGGAGAAGAATATCCAGAGCCATTTGGCCAAGCATTGCATATTCATCTTGGATTCTGCACCAAAAATCATTAAGAGGCGTCGTTTTGAACAATGACTCCATACTTGTGTCTGATGACATTTCTAAAAGAGATTCATATATCTCATTTGACATGTTTTCAGGCTTTTCCAAGTTGGGTAAAAAAGGATTATGAATCCAGGAGTTCACTTTAATTTTTGTATTGTGTTCTTCGGGAAAATACTTTTCAAAAGATGCGCGCATCGAACTGAGATATTGGACCAATTCTTCAAACACATTATCTTCAAACATTTCTGAGTCGTTTTCGCTAACAAACTCAGTGAGTAACGTAAAACTTTCTATTTCTTTCTTACCAATGCAAATGATCCAAAAATCTAATTTTCTTTTAAAAGTAGTTATTTTATTATAGGCCTGAAACACTGTTGTCTGTTTACCTTGCAATGATAAATTTAATTCGTTAAGTTTTTGAAAGATATCCGCCATAAAAGACAATCGGAACAACCAAGTTTTATCATACAAACGGTCCTTCAAATTAAAAGAAGTATCTGCTGAAAGAAACATTTGTAACTCGGCTCTAAGTTCAAATAGCCTTGTTAAAGTTTTTCCCCGAGACAGCCATCGCACTTCTGTATGGAGCAGCAGTGTTTTATGTTTGCTGCCACAATCTTCACACAATAATGAGAACAATCGGGATTGTAGTGGTCGTGATTTGATAAAATTAATTATTTTTACCGCTTCATCCATAACTAATTTTAGATTAGACGGCATTTGCTTCATCGCAAGTGCTTGTCTATGCAGAATACAATGACTGGAACTACAATTAGGCGCTTTATTTTTCATTCGTGACACTGCTCCTGCTGTTTTACCTGTCATCGCCTTGGCCCCATCTGTACAAATGTCAATGCAATTGTTCCAACTGAGATTATGTTCTTCAAAAAATATATTTATTTTATTAAAAATTTCTTCCCCGGTAGTGTTTGTAAGCAGCGATGAACACATAAGCATGTCTTCTTCAAAAGAACTTTTATATGGATATCTCACAATAACCAGCAGGATAGCCAAACCAGCGACATCAGTCGACTCGTCCATTTGCAAAGCGAATCGTGTATTTTGTAGACGTGTAACTAGTTCTTGTTTGACGTAGCTTGCCAGATCATGGATTCGTCGTGAAACAGTATCGTTTGATAGCGGAACAGTAGAAAGATGCTTTGCAGATTTTTCATCAAGCATACATTTTGTTATGTCTAATACACATGGTTTTATTAATTTCTCAGCGATAGTGTGCGCTTCACCTGCTTGTGCAATGCGATAGCTAACTAAGTATGATGCCTCCGTGGCCTTTTCGTTGGTAGTTTGTGTTACATGCATCATATTTTTTTGACTTTCTAATAACTGATCTTTTTTGCGAACAAAAAATTCTTTATTCTTGTCTTTAGTCTCGGGGTGTACGGTTTCTAAATGTCGACGCAATTTGGCAGGTGCCATGGAACTATTAGGAAGCAGTTTACTACAGAGCATGCAGAGAGGTGAGCCGTTGGAATCAACAAATCCGAAACTGATATAAGATTCATCATACTTCCTTTTTTTCGTCTTTGAAACCGTCGAGCTTGACGTCGTGGCACTCGTGGCATCATCTTCTGGATCGGTGATTGCTAAATTCTCCGCGCGCATTGCTTTTGAACATTCAGCGTCATTAGAAGATGTTGTTGGAACACGTTTAACACCTTTAAGCCAACGTTCCATTCTTCTTTATTTATAATGTTACAAGTCAGGATAGTGGGGTTTAAATAATGCACAATCGTTACTGCGTATAAGAGACTAAATTTAGAACCTACAGGGAAGAAATGTATAAAACTGAGACAACAGAATACAGCAGGCAGTAAAACAATGAACACCAGTTTCTCGCTAGCGAGCTTGTAAGTAGGTAGTAACTTATCGCTCCGAACGCTAATCATCAACTGACGACGCCAACGCGCGATCGCCGCTTTTATACTTAGTCCTAGACTCGATCTCAAATATTCTCGAAAATACTCGAGTCGGCACCTTTGATAAACAAAAAGCAAAAATAAAAACAGAAATTTAAAAATAGCGTTGTAAACAATATCGACTTTATCCTTTGAAGTTAGAGACGAAAGTCGCTAGTTGACAACTATAGCGTCTAATTCAGAGGCGGCTTTTATCAAAGAGACTGAGCGCTTACAAGTATACCTACCCGCTCGTTTTAAGTTTGCCGCTGGCGATAGGTATGAGTGTATGACGTTCGAAATTTTTTATTTAATTGTAACAATAAAAATTGTGTACGTTAGATATTTGGGTAAAACTATGACACATTATAAGTTTTGTTGTCACGTGGGGGAGGGTACGCGCATTCCACAGACCGGCAAACTTAGAGCGAACGCGTTGTACAAGTATAAAATTGTTGAGACCAAACTTATGAGATATTGTACCAGCTAATGTAACACAAGCTTATACAAATACAAATAAATAAATAAATAACATTCATAGCGTTTTGTCTCCGCGCGGCCGCGGAGTCCGCACAGCCGCGGAGCGACCAGAGAGAGGTGTTTTGATTTTTTTATTTCTAAATTCTTGCGGAACCCCGACAGAGGTATCACGGAACCCTAGGGTTCCACGGAACACACTTAGAGTATAGCTGGTCTACTGCATATTGCAAGATCACAAAAGTCAGCAAACAATTATAGTACTTACACCTCCTTAATCCAAAATGCAGACAATAGTTAGTCTGGGTTCAAACTTAAGGTTGTCTGTCTTCTTTTTTAGAAAATAAAAGTGACAGCATTGATTTATGTCAAGGTTTAACTTTAGTTTATGTATTGTAATAAGGCAGACATAGTTTGAAGTGTCAATATAAATAAAATATTACTTGTATGTATTTTTTGGGATTCCTCTCCTAATTTGATGACGTAGACTAGACTTTGTCAATGCGTAGATTCCTTGCTCAACAGTAATTATATCTCTGACTTCTTCTGACTCATGTATTTGGAAAGAAGTGTACTTCTGCATACTAGGCCCATAATATGATGTGACATGACCCTGAATATAAAATGAACACTATTACAATATTGTCTGTAGCTAAATATTGACATTGCTTTAAAAAATCTTAAATGAAAATATAACTTTTATGTGTCAATTCTTTTAAGGCAGCGACAATTTTTTTGTTAAAATATGCCTTTTTCTAGTATTTAGAATAACTTTTATGTAAATTTCATGCCATGCGTTTGTTTCAAGTTGGCCACTCTCACCCCCCCAGCTTCACCAAGCTGCGTTCCTAGACAAACTCTATGAGTCGACCCTCTCTGTTGACAGTACGTACAATACAGTAGTTAATGCGCATGTGATTGGCCTGTGACACATTTGAAATGGTCATTGAACGCTAACTTGAAGCAAACAGGTAATAAATCTTTTAATTAGTAATGATAATTTAGTACAAAGAAAATAATATGATTTCTAAAATACTAACACCCTGGTTTCCCATCCACACCAATTCCTCAAATTTATCAAAAGCAGCAGCTGTCACCCCAAACCTGTCTCCTCCATCCACCAGGACACTGCTGCGTACTTCATATTCAGCATTGTGATTTGGGATTAAGTATTGAGGAGTGTACTCAGATGCATAAGGATCTGAAAAAAAGAAACCAAAAAATCACAACAAACTTGTAACTCTAAATATTTCCATATGCAACCTAGAATCTAATTGGAAATAAGCTTGAAACTATGTCTATTGCATAAAAATGCCTTTAGCCTATTCAACTACAGGATTATTTCAATGAATATTTATTGATATCATAATCACCTAATATCTTTATGAGTACAGCTGAAGGTGAATACAAATGTGAGTAAAAGTTTGAATGGGCAATCAATGTTTAATTACACAGACTTACTTAACAACAGACAAAACAAATTTATAGGACCATTAAAAATATTGATTCGAAAATGTTTACGTACCAGGTAAGAGATGATCACTTGTTAGACAAAGATCGGAATAATGATACTCCATAGTATTATTTCCCTGATTTCTTTCTTTTACAACATTTATGACACGTCCTAATTAGTGAGCTTTAATAAACAATACGAAAAACATTAAAATAATTGATAAAAAATAAAAATCGTAATCATTTTGACCAAGCTAACTTCTTTTTTCGTTCGATTTCTAAATGCCTACGACAAAATTCGTTTTGACACCCCAACATCCAATAAGAAAATCATACCATCGCACAAGCTTTTTTCATTGGTTACTTGGATTATATTTCCCTCAGACTGATTGGTTGTTGTGCTGTCAAATTTGATGACGTTGACGTTTTCAAAAAGCAAACGGTATTAAGCCCATACTGCCTCTTTTAAATATTAATATTTCTTTTATTTTGATCGAATCAAAATTTGGTCGCGACAATCTGTTGTTGCAGGTGTTGTATCGGATATCGAGTAATTTTAATATTTTATAATTTCGTAGTACCTATCTCTACATTTTGTCAATCTTAAGTTTTATAATCCCTTTATGTTTAAGTAGAGCTGATTCGAAAATAAAAATAATCATTTTATGACGACTAATCACTCGAAACTCCTGCGAAATTATAAAATATTCAAATTACTCGATTTCCGATACAACACCTTCAACAACAGATTTCAGCAAATAATGCCCCATTTAGTACATCTTTTTTTGTATTTTAACGGAAGCTTATGTAGTCGGGCAGTTTTTAAAATTAGTCAGAAGTTATGGAACATCTATTTTATTTTTTTTATTTCAATTTAAAATCCATTCTGTTTTTACTTAATTCATTTTTATTTAGTATCGATATTTTTTTTATATCTTAGCTTAAAGTTAGGAAGGAGATTATTTTACTTATAAAACAACAAGCAATAGGCATTCTGTTAAAACGAAGAAAAGTCGACCCAAAAAGAAGTTATAGTTTTTTAAAGTTGTCTTATCATTAAACTTAAAAAATAACGAAACAAATCTAACTCGAAAACTAGGTACGCAAAATCGTAGAACATACATGGGGGTTAAATAGATAGGACTCCGCTGTCAGCTCGCACGTGCTTGACACCCTAGAAGAAACACCCTGTATAAGTATATTAATATAGATATACATACCTATTAAACATCCATGACTGGAGTACAAATGCTCGTATTCATCACACAAACATATGCCCCCACCGGGATTCGTAACCGGGACCTCTCGAGTTGGCGACACCATGAAACCCGGCGTATAAACCACTCGGCCAAGGAGGTCGTCAAAATAATGTACTAAAGTTTTATATCTACAAAAAAGTCCAAAATCATACGTCTAACTATAACAGTTATGTCACAACTAAGGGTCCACTGCGGTTATACCCGCGTTAATTTGAGAAAAAAGGTTACAGCGAGTCAATCTTAAAAGATGGGCTTAAGCTGTAGTAGACTTTTTTATACAACTTTTAAAGGGGAACAATTCCGTCATACATGATTTTTGTGTAACTTTAATCATTTACGAAGCGCACGCAACGGAATCCCGCAAATGTTATGTTTACCCGTATTTGCAAAATTTTACATCGATACTCCACTCCTACTGGTTGCAGCGTAATATTATATAGCCTTAAGCCTTCCTCAATAAATGCACTATCTAACACAAAAAGTTTTTTTTAAATCGGACCATTATTTCCTGAGATTTGCGCGTTCTACCAAAAAATAGTGCATTTGGTACAACTAAACAGGTCCTAAACTATGCAACAAAGTTTTGATTATCAGTTAAGCGAAGCGAGGGCGGGCCACTAGTCGGCAATATAATATAAGGATCACTCGTTTGTCTGTCTGCCAGCAGTGGATTTGCTCGTAATCTACTGGACTGATCCAGTTGGTAAGATGTCTGTGACCCAAATACAAACGAATAAAGTAAATAAATAAATTCCGAATGTGAGGATTACTTTTGAGCGGGTGAATTAAAAAAATGATATAGTGTCTAATGTATAGATAATGGCACAGAACCCTTCATGCGCAAGTCTGACTCACACTTATCCATTTTTTTTCTTAACAGGTGTTTAATGAAACCGTTCTTTGTCTACACCACTCAGATTTAATACTGGGAGATGTGAAATGAATTATATAAATTTAAGTCCCATGTTGTCTTACTGTACATACTTTTGTAGCAATAGCTTTAATCAAATTTAAAAGATTATTGTCATCTCGGAGTATGGTTCTTAGCTTGACAGTTAAATAAGATTGCAGGTTACAAGATTATTACATAAAAACACTTATTTTTTAAAATATTAACATTATATTAATGTTTGATCTTTATTTAGTTGTTTGTGTTTGATTGTTTTTTTAAGTTACATTGAATAAATGCTGAAATGTAATAAATATGAGTATAGCTTAAATAAATTATTAGTTCTTATCTTAATTCTAATTAACAGTAGTGGGTAGGAAGTGTTGATAATAACTTTTTGTAAATTCTGTCATGAGATCAGGTGTAGCTTCGGGAAGTGTTGTGATTAGCCTTGCGGGACTCCCAGAGTATCTTGCAAATGAAGGCACAACTGTTTCCGCTGGTAGCACAGAATTATCTTCAATCATGCAACAATCTTTTAAAACACATCTACGACCCTGAAAGGAAGAAAATTACATCATTTTATAAAAGCAAGCTAGGCAACTTTAGAACCAAATTCACATGTAATTTGATAATGTTTTTTGGCACCAGCACTTATATTAAAGTTAATTAAATGCTACTTTACTTGAGATATCTTTGTACTTACAATGACAACATTTTTGCCAATATAAACATAGGATCCAACAACAGCTGCATTCACTACAGTATTTTCACCTACGAAGACATGGTCGCCCATTTGAAGAGGGAAAAAAGCCACTCTGAAATTTAATTTAAATAGTCTTAAGTATATTTACAGATTTGTTTTTGGTATTTTTTGTTTAAATTATGACAACAGGGATATATTTATTCTCTAGATTTAGTATTTTAATTGGTAATAAACCTACCCTTTGCTGAATTTTTTGAAAGGTGGTCTTATAACTGATCCCTTGCTAATTATACAGAACCTTCCCGTTTTAACATTAGCTAGGTCTCCCCTGATTATAGCATCACTTTGAACAATAACTTTGCCATGCAAGACAATGTTTTGTGAGCCACAGAGGACCGTTTGCCGGCTCACTTTGTTCCCCGAGGCCTGTAAAATAACACGATAAACACCATTAGACACTTAAATTTTATTTTTTACACATTTTGTAACAAAAACATACCGTTTCCACATACTCAGACTTGTTATAGTAAGTGTCTTGAAGTTCCATTATATTGGAAAATATATTATTTCAAAATTAAGGTGTGATTTTTATAGTTAAATTAAATAACGTTAAATTGTAACGGTCAGATTTTGTTTATTTTATACAATAATTAAAACTTTTATGACTCTAACTTTGAAGTAAAAAAGAATTGCTCTGTTTTGTCACATTATCTGTCACTCACACTGACAGTTTCACGGTGTTGCACACGTATTTTTATTATTACCCCAAATCAAATTATTTTTATTTGATTCTGGGGAAAATAAGAAAAGTCATCGCTACATCATGCTTTACCTTTTAAGTTGTAATGATATGATTTGTATTTTGTAACCTTGCCAAAAATAAATAAATACTTTCCTTAGCCCCTTATCCTTTGGAAAGTGATGATTATATTTATTTACAACAAAGTACTACACAATGCTGCAGTTTACCAACCCTATCCGTATGTATTTTGGCAGATTTTTTAAATTGTTTTCGGCCATACTATAGATATGAAGATGGTAATTTTAGTTTTTCGCCAGCCGATAACAACCGTTTTTTTCGTTGATATCCATAAACAGCGGTTGTTTACGGTCGAAAACATTTTATTATGTTTTATTATATCCGTTTTTTGTTCTAAGTGATTATTTTTGTCTATCTACATACTGGTGTCGATTCTACCGTGATTCTCTAAACTTAAAACTGAATTTAACATCAGTCTCTCTGTTTCATTCTGTATAAAGAATGACAAGGATGCACTGTTGTCAAATTTAAGTTTAGCTTTAGAGAATCATGTCAGAATCGACATCACTACCTACCTACTTATATAATAGGTACGTTATATCAGATTTCATAATTCAGGTAACTATTTTTTCCTATTTCTTACTTGCGTCGATATTATTTTAAAATACCTACATAACTTTATTGTTTTATTTTACTGAGGCTGATCACATACCTGTTACCAAAATATACATGGTATACATGGAAAAGCGTCTTGAAAAGTTTTTAACTAATTAGTCAGGCTTCGACCTGTTGCGTGTATTGTTAATTGTTTGATTTGATGTTAATATTATTAAAAACAATTTAAATGGAAATAAAACTGATTCCAGAACCGCTGTTTTTATTCAATAATTTCTAAATGTTTTGCAAAATATGTGACGTCACACTAGGGAGGGGGGGGGGGGGTCTCTCAAATGTGACCAGCTGTGACAAGGACGGGGGGAGGGGCAAAAAAATGAAATTCGTGTGACGTAATTTATGGATGACAAAGGCACCGCCCGGTAGAACTTCCGATGTTGTTTTGTCAGTTTTCTTTACCCATTAGTTCGGCAGTGCCTTAGATCAGGCAACACTTACATTACACTTACATTTTTTTTTCGATACAATGCAAAGGAATCTAGATCTTGCAGGATATTACAATTGTTAATTAAGCAATAATATATTTACTTTTGAGACATATTTTGTGTTGTGAGGAAAGTAAAAAGCTGAATATCATTAAAAAAACATAAAGAAACAAAATTTTTTGGGTTGCAAGGTGCACTGGATATGGGCTTAATAACATCATTTTCTACTGGCTTATTCCCCACATTCTAGGTATGATACCCACTTAAAGGCAGGGTATAGTTAAGTACTTTGTTCTGAAATCATAGTGTCAGTTTTAGCGAAAGGTATAATGCCAATATTCGTTTCTTTCAGCAAGTAACTATTAAGTAATCTTGACACGGCTTTTAAACAGTGCAGTGTGATTACCATTCTGTAACTCATATATAGATACTTTTATAGGAGTATTCCTTGTTTATATGAATCAGTTCATGTATTGTAGTTCGGTATGGGAAGTTTGCCAGATTTTAATCACCGAAACTCGAAGTCAATTTTGAAGACTATATATAATCAGGATGTATGTAGGTACTTTGTATACTTAGACTTTCGATTGGAAAATTTAAAAACACCCAATTAAAAAAAGAAGCGGTTTTTTTGGCGGGATTTCATCGAGTGCGGTTGGCGTCTTATTTTAATTATTCTTAAATTCGTTCATAGTGGATATTGTGAAATAAAATTTGTGTGGTTTTGTGTAACAACTGTCTGCGTAACTGAAGAATTAGTGGAATCATTAAAATATAATTATACTATTCCGGTCAAGTGAACGTGAGAATTTTATTGTAGTGTTGACTACCTCACAGAAGCTTATCGAAAAAGCCAACTCGATACATTTCGTGCCAAACACTCCAAGAAACATTAGAATGCGTCACACCGACATTCTAATGTAAAAACAAAAAGAAGATAAATTTAATTAAAGACCAGGCTGTATGGGCGTTGTTCCCTTTGCCTTCCCTAAAACGGGAGAACTTCAACAAAAAAAAGAAGCGCCAAATTAAAATTTAGTTTGCTCTTTCGCGCGTGCTTTTGGCAAAACAAGATTCCTTTTTTTTAAATAAGTATTTTTTAACTATTTAATAGCAATGGATCGGTTTGTTGTAAGAGAACCAAGAGTAGGAGCTGGTAAGCCTACAGCAATGATACCCAATTAAAATTTGTTCTATTTATTGAAACAGACATAGCTTAAATCAATGTGTTTAATCATTTCCCATAGAATATCCCCACAATCCTCAAGGAAATCAGCCTATGTCATTTAGATCTAATGCTCCTAGAAACAATAATGACATGACGTGAGTGATATTTCTTTACAGTTAAAACTACATTTAAGAGCCCTTTCACAAAATTGCGCCGCTGTTGTACTGATCGCCGCGTAGGTAGATTTGCACTGGTATATATTGCATTTTCTTTTAATATAATTATTAATGAACTAATTTTAAAAATATATACATATTTCAGTAGTTAAATGATGGTAGATTAGTTTTATGAAAGTTTTTGATAGTAATTCTATTTAATTCAATATCAAAATACGAGGTGAGGTAAAACTGTACTTCCAGGGCCCAAAAGGTGATACTTGTTTTTTTTTGTAGAAAAGGTCTTTTTAACAGTTTTTTTTTCTGGCGCTTCGCCGGCCGCTGCCGCGGCACGCTCGCTTTGCTCGCTCGGCTCGCGCGTTATGGTCACAACACTAACCTAACCTAACCTAGTGTGAAGTACCACTTTTTAAGAAAAACAAAAATTTTCAATATTTTTTTCTAAAAAACTACCAGTGCATAAGTGTGACATTTTTTTTAATAATGTGGTTAACAGAAACCTTTTTAACAACAAAAATGCGAAATTACAACCAACAAAACTGTGAAGTTTTTACTTTTGGGCCCTGGAAGTACAGTATATCCCGAGGTAAACCTGCATTATTTTTTGGGAAAACTCACGGAGGTTAGATGTATTTTTTGATAATTAATTAGGTAGATGGAAAATCAAAATTCTAATAAATTATGATACAACAAAACATATTTCTGATGTCGCAGTATTTAATTTGATCTAATTTATTGAACATTATTGAGAGATTGAGGCATTTGAAGTTGTGCATATTATCGTTATTTCCGTAAACTAGCTGTAGTAGAACGATCAGTACAAAAAAAGGAAAATAGTATTTGCAAATATTCTTCATTAACTTACAATAGGAAGAATAAATCTACTGTTTAATTCTATTGGAAATAGTCAAAATCTTTTTAAAGGGGGTAAACGAAGCGCTCTTTTTTGCAAAAAATGTGAAAGGGCTCTTAGGAAAGCTTAGTTTAGGTTGATCTTTCGTTTGCCTTGCTTATTAATGAGCACCTAATTTGTAGTCTTGACAACGTGTATTATGGAGGATATGGCGCTGAATCGCCCTTCTTCGCTGATGGTTTTGGAGTACAGCATCGCGTGAGCAACGCACCTACTTATTCACCAATAAATGTAATGTATCTTGCTTGGTTGTAGAAACGACAATTCCAAGTCTAAAGAAAATTTTACTAGAAAAATTCCACGCGGCCAGGTAGCAGACAGGACTCCAACCCACATCCTCCGCTATCCGAGCGGACTGACCAAATATGCTAACGCGGTCTTAATTGCCGTGTTGAGTTTCTTCCAGTATTTCTTAGGCTCATGGCAGCGCCATCTCTTCGCATTGTAGGTAACCCACAATGTCAAACGAATACCTTTACAAGTAATAGATTCTATTCTAGTAAAATTTTCTTTACAAAAAGACATCTAGCATTTAAATGCTTAAAAAATATAAATAAAGACAATGAACCTACTGAGCTTGGTATATGTACCTAGTCAGGTCATAAATTCTGTCACATGTTTAATATAAAATAATTGAAACAAGTTTATTCAATATGTAACCATTTATATACCAAAACATAGATTCTTATAACAATAAAGTTTATTCAAAATGACCTCCGTGATTTTGAATACAGGCCTTCAATCTGCGCGGCCAGTCGTCTATAGCAGCACGAACGAGGTCCATGTCAATATCGGCGGTTGCCTTAATCAAGGATGTCTTGAGTGACTCCAAATTGGGATGAGGCTTTGAGCACGCCTTTTCCTCCAAGTGTTGCCATATCTTGTAATCTAACGGACACAAATCTGGACTGGAGGAGGGCCGCCAACTAGTCTTGTGTGCTCTTCGCTTTATGAGCCGGCGCCAAATCTTGTTGGAATACCCAGTGTCTGTTGAACATGGTATGAGAAACAGTTTCCACGAGGTTCGTCAGGACTGTATTTTGATACACAACTGCATTCGTTTTTACACCGTTCTCATAAAAATGTACCTCTGTTAGGCCCCAATAAGAAACTCCCAACCATACCATGAGCGTGGATGGAAAATGACCTCGTTGGACACGCGGAATACGGTTGCTCGCTTCTTCACTACTGTGTGCGTACACCTTATCATTTTGTTTGTTGAAGCTCTCTTCTACGGTAAAATTGTTTTCATCCGAAAAAAGAATTTCCCGATATTTTCTCCCGCGTACCGCTTCAACAAAGCGCTGCATCTCTTCAGTCCCAGTTCCATTAGACGAGCATTCAAACGATGTCCTGTTTTTCTTCGATATGCCCGAAGCCCTACTAAGTCTTCATTTAACACCTTTTTCACCGTGGTTCTGCTTAACCCCATCTGAAGGGCCAACAGTTTCTGCTTACGTTTGGGATTTCTTTGAATTCGCGCCTTCACAGCTTTTATCACTGCTGGAGTCCTAACAGACCGAGAGTGACCACTTCGTGACCTGTCATCTACACTAGTCTTCATTGTATCGTTTGATGGTACGATAAACGAATCTTTTGGTTATATTTCAAATTTTTCAGAATGTCAAAAATTTGATTTGGCGCGTAACCGCAACGATGCAACGCAATAACTGCAACACGGTCTTCTTTAAGCGTCCACTCCATATTTAAAAATGAGTAAAATTCTAAAAAGTAGACATTTTTGTTTTCATGAACAATTCTTAATTCGAATTCAATAAACTTTTTTGTGGCGAGCATTCTAAAAGAAAAGTTTTTACTGTGTGACAATACTTATGACCTGACTATGCATAGTCGCATTTGAAGTTGTTTCTGAATTTTGCAAGTCTCTTCATCATCTTCAGCCGAAGGACGTTCACTGGTGCACATAGGCCTCGCTTGGATCCCTATGGAACTATAGACATTCACACATCCAAACTTCCACATTAATGTTATAAATGCGGAAGTGTGACTGTTTGTTACTTTTTCACGCTTAAACTGCTGAACCCATGGAGATGTGATTTGGTATAACGAGTTTTAGTCCCGGGAAAGGACATTGGTTTATTTTTTATCTTGAAAATCATCCTTTAAGGTAGTGAAAAGGGGAGTAGAAGTTGGGAATGGGAAACCAATTAAACCACGCAGACAAAGTCACGGACACTCGCCAGAACTAAACAAATTGTTACAACACTTTACATCATTAACATGATAAAAAAACTACCAAAGTGCTAGTTGACTCACTTGAAGGGCTTAATTCCAAAAGATAATTTGACCAGAGAAAATTCAACTCATTCAGGCCTTGGTCGAATTGATTCCTTTCCAAGTTCTAATGCGAAGTCGAGTAGAACCATTGTTTTTTTGTATTATCCCTCTTAAATTAAATTTCGCTAGTGAGTACCCGCGAGTTCGTCTGCGCGGAAATATTGGTTTCCTATACAAACTTGGAACCCCCGTTTTACCCGTTTAGGGGGCGAGTTTTGGAAAATCTTTTCTTAGTGCACGCCCTCATCATGAAGCTATATGTGTGCCATATTTCAGTGCAATCCGATCAGTGGTCTAAGCTGTGCGTTGAAAGATCAGTCAGTAACGGTTGCCTTTTTCGTAAAGAACATTATTTGGCGTTATAACAGCAATTGACACAAACATATTTTCTAAAAACAATAAAAAATACCAATTAGCCTAGCCCCAAAGTAAGCACTATAAGGCTTGTGTTATTGGATACTAGGGTGACGGATAGAATACATATACAGTACATATATAAGTATATTCATACAGACGCAAAACATATTAATCATCCATGACTGAAGTACAAATGTTCGTATTCATTACACAAACATCTGCCCCCACCGGGATTCCAACCCGGGACCTTTCGAGTCGGTGACACCATGAAACCTGGCGTACAAACCACTCGATCACGGAGGTCGTCAGGTTTTAAATAATAGGTAATTTCATTACGAGTAGATAACAGGCACGGAACCGTAAGAACTAGGTTTTTTATAATAAATAAATAATGGCGGTTCTAAAGAGAGGTATTATGGGGTATATGGGGAATAGCGGATTTCCAGCTCGAATTGGAGCACCCGCCTGGGAAAATTTTAAGTAATTACTTCGTCTAAGGCACTTTAAATATTTTCTTCTAAGGATTTTTTATTAGGTCAGAAATACAAAATAAACTATCAAATCTATTTTAAGCATTATAATTTACCTTAAAAGTTTATGAAAAGCATTGTTATCATAATTTAGCTTTTTGAGGGGGGAGAATGCTCTACACGAATAAAAATTTGCACTTTAAAGTTAAATAATTCGCAAACGGATCCCTAAATTGAAAAATAGTCTTAGGGGCCCTTAAGTCATTTTAAAAGACCTATATGGTATAGACGATGAAAAAATAAAATCATCTCCAGGTTACATGTAGGGGAGCTACCCCAAAAAAAACTTTCAAAATTTTATTCTATCATTTTGTCGGCATGATTAATATACATATATCCACAAAATTACAGCTTTCTAGTGCTAACAGTCTCCAAGCAAAACAGACAGACGGACATGACGAAACTACAAGGGTTCCTTGTCAGGACTACGGAATCCTAATAAACTTGTATTGGCATCGTCCTAATTGCTAAAGATTGTACTATGACACGACATGATCTCATCGATAAAAATTATGTAACCGTGCTCGTGCGACGGCTTACATGCTGTATTAGGACACTTCTGAAGAAATGTGTATGTTTGTAAATCATCGCAAGACGAGAATGCATCGTCTCATCGTACGATCGTTACCAATTAGGAAAATTCCTTAGAATACCTATGCTTCCAATTTGAATAAAGAAAATTTGACTTTGGCTTATCGGTGTCAAGTTACTATTATATTGACCTTGTATAGTATAAAAAAGCTTATTACAAAGTGTCTGATTAGATTACAGACAAAATGCTTGGGTTTGAACTGTTCCAATCATTCCAACAGGTTTTCTATATTAAATAAATCATAATTGTATTGACGTTGTAACAACATAATGATTTGTAAATGTTGTTACATTAGACTTTTAATGTTGTGGAGTTTTTTTCGCTCGTTTTTCTCCGCAGCAAAAAAATATGTCCATAACGAGTGGTAGGGAAAACAAAAATTTGGATGATTCAAAAGTGTTGTACTATACATCCAATTTGAATAAAGATATATTTATTTCTGATTTATGACCTCTTTGTTCACACGTTTCTCATACAATGTTTGCAATGGTTTCACAGCGTCATCATCCGAGTCAGGCCCAGATTTTCTCCGGAATTGATCCGCGTTATCTGGCCACTTACACCGACAGCAACGCTGCATATATCGTGACTGGTGCGTTATATACCTCATACAGTTTGTGTTTCTTTCATTTTACTTCACTCTAATTTGTTGTAAGTTACGATACTGCGAAATTGTTTTACGGTGACTAAATAAAATCTATAAACACTGTATTCCTTTTATTGTTAAAACTTCCAGGGTCACTAACATTGCAGTAATTTGTGTTATTTTAGTTCGTTTAGAGTACCGATATTATTCCGTTATCATAGCGCTTGTAACAGTACCAAAATATCGGAGACTTGCTAAAACATGATACACGGCAGAAATCCCGTAAATAACATAAATAACTATGCTCCTTATTGGTAACCAAATAATACCTTATTATCACTCTATGAGTTAACATTTCGCTATCTGTTTGAGTAATACGAATAATAATGTTGTTAAAAATAATTGAAAATTGTTGTTTTCTCCGCAGCCAAAAAATATGTCCATAACGAGTGGTAGGGGAAAAAAATTTGGACAGTTCAAGAGTTGTACATCCAATTTGAATAAAGATATATTGATTTCTGATTTCTGTAATTAATTCCTTCTTATATGTAACAATAATGAAACCACATTTTAATCTTAATGATGAAATAAAATTGAAAATAGGATATCTTCGGTTGGTCAAATATTATTCTAAGACTTCGGCAAATCTTAAAATTACAGGTCTACAGATGGAAGAAGATAGGTCCCGTTTGCCGATGAGCTTTGGCTACGAGAACCGTACCATCGTAGCACCAGACCGTGGCAAGACAAATACAATTATACACGAAGCTCCGAAAGGTTTGAAACATTTATTAGTACAGACTAAGAATATCCATACTAATATTATAAATTCGAAAGTATGTCTGTCCGTTACCCCTTCACGCTAAAACCGTTGAACCGATTCGGCTGAAATTTATTATAAAAGTGATTCTTAAAGGTATCGTATCAAAAAGGTAACAGCGAAATACTATTATAACCTCTTCTTGTCCGTCCCTCTGTAGTAGTTCGTATCTCATACATAAGCCATAGCTAATAAAATTGGTTAAGTAAGCACTTCGAAAATCACAAAATGTTTTATATTTTGCCATTTTAAAGAGAAAGAAACTTGAATAGATTTATTAGTAAAGTAACAAGGGAACTTGACCACTATCTTGTATAAAACTGGTAGATTATTTTTTTGCGGTTCAGTGAAACCGTGATGCAAGAGAAACCTAAAATCTTTAACAAAAAAGTCCTTTCACGGTTGGGATTCTATCTACCACCGAACCATCGATGTTTGTTGGTATTGTCTGAAGTTTTTAATAACAAACGAAAATATAATGCGACATGCATGCATAAAAAAATATTACCAACACTCACACCAATTAGGCTAGCCCCAAAGTAAGCACTGTAAGGCTTGTGTTATGGTATACTAGGGTAACGGATAGAATACATATACTGCACTTATATAAGTATATTTATATAGAAAATACATATTAAACATCCATGACTGGAGTACAAAAGCTCGTATTCAACACACAAACATCTGCCCCCCCACCGGGTTTCGAACCGGGACCTCTCGAATCGGCGACACCTTGAAACCCGGCGTACAAACCACTCGGCAACGGAGGTCGTCAATAAAAATCGAAAGTCGTCAGATTAAAAGTTTCACTTTAATAAACATTTAACCTATCTGATGATTCGCGGCCAACAAATATATTAAATTTTTCGATAGGAGTATACACCTTTTCCCATCTACTACGCCGTAGAGATCTGGCGAGCTTATTGACTACCCTAACATTGTTATTTGTCTTTCTTACGTTGGATAAATAAAAAGTATTCTTGTTTTAGATAACACGCTGGTAACGAATACCATGATGCAGCCAAACTTCTCTGAAAAATCCAGTATATTTAAAAGCAAAACAGACATGAGTAACCGCCAGTTCAAAGAGAACTCCGGCCAACTATATCAACAAAAGCAAGGCAATGGTAACACAAATTCCTTTCTCAAAATATTGTTGTAGTATTCTTAAATAATTTTAAGATAGTGTACTCTTGTATCTGTATAAAGCAGTGGTTCTCAAACTTTTTAAATGACGGAACCCTTTTGGGAAGCAAAATACTTGATGGAACCCTACAATAAAACAATTATTTTTATAAGTGTATTCTATATTAATCAGCATAATAAAAGTACAATGTATCCGTTACTAATTATTATTTACTTCACCACTTGGTAAGGACAATAATAGAAAACATTAAAAAAGAAAAAATCTAACTAGTGGGAGGTATGAAACTGTTTTTTATTTTTCATCAATTGCTTGATATCAGGTTTGATGGAAGAAAGTTGGAGTCTCATATCAGCTTCGGCGTCCAGTCTATTGCGATATTTTGTTTTCGTGGCTGCGTAGGTAGAGAATCCTGTTTCGCACAAATATGTAGTTGGGAACGGGAGAAGAATATCCAGAGCCATTTGGCCAAGCATTGCATATTCATCTTGGATTCTGCACCAAAAATCATTAAGAGGCGTCGTTTTGAACAATGACTCCATACTTGTGTCTGATGACATTTCTAAAAGAGATTCATATATCTCATTTGACATGTTTTCAGGCTTTTCCAAGTTGGGTAAAAAAGGATTATGAATCCAGGAGTTCACTTTAATTTTTGTATTGTGTTCTTCGGGAAAATACTTTTCAAAAGATGCGCGCATCGAACTGAGATATTGGACCAATTCTTCAAACACATTATCTTCAAACATTTCTGAGTCGTTTTCGCTAACAAACTCAGTGAGTAACGTAAAACTTTCTATTTCTTTCTTACCAATGCAAATGATCCAAAAATCTAATTTTCTTTTAAAAGTAGTTATTTTATTATAGGCCTGAAACACTGTTGTCTGTTTACCTTGCAATGATAAATTTAATTCGTTAAGTTTTTGAAAGATATCCGCCATAAAAGACAATCGGAACAACCAAGTTTTATCATACAAACGGTCCTTCAAATTAAAAGAAGTATCTGCTGAAAGAAACATTTGTAACTCGGCTCTAAGTTCAAATAGCCTTGTTAAAGTTTTTCCCCGAGACAGCCATCGCACTTCTGTATGGAGCAGCAGTGTTTTATGTTTGCTGCCATAATCTTCACACAATAATGAGAACAATCGGGATTGTAGTGGTCGTGATTTGATAAAATTAATTATTTTTACCGCTTCATCCATAACTAATTTTAGATTAGACGGCATTTGCTTCATCGCAAGTGCTTGTCTATGCAGAATACAATGACTGGAACTACAATTAGGCGCTTTATTTTTCATTCGTGACACTGCTCCTGCTGTTTTACCTGTCATCGCCTTGGCCCCATCTGTACAAATGTCAATGCAATTGTTCCAACTGAGATTATGTTCTTCAAAAAATATATTTATTTTATTAAAAATTTCTTCCCCGGTAGTGTTTGTAAGCAGCGATGAACACATAAGCATGTCTTCTTCAAAAGAACTTTTATATGGATATCTCACAATAACCAGCAGGATAGCCAAACCAGCGACATCAGTCGACTCGTCCATTTGCAAAGCGAATCGTGTATTTTGTAGACGTGTAACTAGTTCTTGTTTGACGTAGCTTGCCAGATCATGGATTCGTCGTGAAACAGTATCGTTTGATAGCGGAACAGTAGAAAGATGCTTTGCAGATTTTTCATCAAGCATACATTTTGTTATGTCTAATACACATGGTTTTATTAATTTCTCAGCGATAGTGTGCGCTTCACCTGCTTGTGCAATGCGATAGCTAACTAAGTATGATGCCTCCGTGGCCTTTTCGTTGGTAGTTTGTGTTACATGCATCATATTTTTTTGACTTTCTAATAACTGATCTTTTTTGCGAACAAAAAATTCTTTATTCTTGTCTTTAGTCTCGGGGTGTACGGTTTCTAAATGTCGACGCAATTTGGCAGGTGCCATGGAACTATTAGGAAGCAGTTTACTACAGAGCATGCAGAGAGGTGAGCCGTTGGAATCAACAAATCCGAAACTGATATAAGATTCATCATACTTCCTTTTTTTCGTCTTTGAAACCGTCGAGCTTGACGTCGTGGCACTCGTGGCATCATCTTCTGGATCGGTGATTGCTAAATTCTCCGCGCGCATTGCTTTTGAACATTCAGCGTCATTAGAAGATGTTGTTGGAACACGTTTAACACCTTTAAGCCAACGTTCCATTCTTCTTTATTTATAATGTTACAAGTCAGGATAGTGGGGTTTAAATAATGCACAATCGTTACTGCGTATAAGAGACTAAATTTAGAACCTACAGGGAAGAAATGTATAAAACTGAGACAACAGAATACAGCAGGCAGTAAAACAATGAACACCAGTTTCTCGCTAGCGAGCTTGTAAGTAGGTAGTAACTTATCGCTCCGAACGCTAATCATCAACTGACGACGCCAACGCGCGATCGCCGCTTTTATACTTAGTCCTAGACTCGATCTCAAATATTCTCGAAAATACTCGAGTCGGCACCTTTGATAAACAAAAAGCAAAAATAAAAACAGAAATTTAAAAATAGCGTTGTAAACAATATCGACTTTATCCTTTGAAGTTAGAGACGAAAGTCGCTAGTTGACAACTATAGCGTCTAATTCAGAGGCGGCTTTTATCAAAGAGACTGAGCGCTTACAAGTATACCTACCCGCTCGTTTTAAGTTTGCCGCTGGCGATAGGTATGAGTGTATGACGTTCGAAATTTTTTATTTAATTGTAACAATAAAAATTGTGTACGTTAGATATTTGGGTAAAACTATGACACATTATAAGTTTTGTTGTCACGTGGGGGAGGGTACGCGCATTCCACAGACCGGCAAACTTAGAGCGAACGCGTTGTACAAGTATAAAATTGTTGAGACCAAACTTATGAGATATTGTACCAGCTAATGTAACACAAGCTTATACAAATACAAATAAATAAATAAATAACATTCATAGCGTTTTGTCTCCGCGCGGCCGCGGAGTCCGCACAGCCGCGGAGCGACCAGAGAGAGGTGTTTTGATTTTTTTATTTCTAAATTCTTGCGGAACCCCGACAGAGGTATCACGGAACCCTAGGGTTCCGCGGAACACACTTAGAGTATAGCTGGTATAAAGCCTTCCCACCATGTGAGCGTTAATATCGGTCGATAATATCGGATGCGTTATTGCGATACTTGTTTTCAGTAGGTTATTTATTAGAATGGCTACAAAGTTACACAGTTAGTAAAGAGATACGTACAATCCAGAGACCAAGCTTCTATATAACTCAGAATTTTTCCTTTTTTTGATGTGGTTGACACATGACGATAAATTAAAGTGAACAAAAAGTTTTAAATATGGTGAACGACTTAATTGCCTACTATTACTTAGTCTAAGTATTTGTTATTTATTATACATTTTTATTCACCAATAAAATTATGTTGTAGGTATTTTATTTGAATATAAATTCTAAATATTATATGTGTAGGATTATAAGTACTGTTTTGTAAAGCACTAATACGCATATTAAATAACAACACAGTCTTGTAAGCGTTTTAGTAAATCAATATTGACAGTGTTTGTTACCTGAGCAAAATATTTCTTCCGATGTTGAAGTATATTATGTGAAAGGTATTACCTATTTATAAATGCAGGTGTATTAACCATATAAAAACATAAATATTACATATCAAAATTACTATTTACCTAGTGGATTCTCAATGATAAATAAATAATATATATTCTTAATTAGATTTATACTATTAAGCATTTAACTGCTAGATGTTAAAATCTAAAGAAAATTTTACTAGAAATATTTAATATCTTCGAATACGTGAAGCGAAAACAAATACGCCGCGAGTGTTCCGCGAGCCATGCACTCACGAAGTTATAATAAACACTGGGGACAACACTCTTAATACCTAAGTAAAGCCAAAAAATCTTGCGGACTCTCCTTGTAGAGACGCACTTTCTTTTTCTAGTAAGGGTGCCTGTAGGCCAAATTAATCATGGACAATCTTGGAGTTGTTGCGTTAATAAAACGCCTTCAAATTAATTTTGTTATTTTCATGACAAATAATTTAAATCTATATATATATAAAAATCAATGGTTGAACGGATTTATCTTAACTTGGTCTTGAAATGTTCGTGAAGGTCTAGGGCAGGTTTAGAAGGTGAGAAAAATTCTAATTCTACACTACAGCTCTACACCGAAGCGAAGCGAGGGCGGGCCACTAGTTCATAATAAATATTTTACACTTCTGTCCCTTTACAAAGGCAGGTGTTTTAACATGGCACCTACCTTTTTAAAGCCGATATTCAAGGGATTTATCACTTGAATCTAGATTTGAAAGAGACATTTTTACAGTTTGTATTATACTTTGGTTTACCTTATGCAGCTTCAGAATTGGTAAACGTAATTTTTTCCCCGTGGATTTATCTGATACGTTAAAAGCTTTTTCATTGTTCGAATGGGTACAAAAACAAAATAAAGATCTACAAAACTGATGTTTCCATTTTTGAGTTATGATAAGGACCCTAATGGTGTATAAATTGCTACTGGACATTGTTTTAATAAGTAGTTAGGTACCTATTGATAGATATTTAAAAGCCGAAGTGCGATTAAACCACAGTAGAACTCTACAAGATTGGGTAGAGTTGTATGGATAAAAGCAGTGGACCCTTTATATACAGGAGTGTAATCCAAGCACAGAATGTAATTTGATTTTACGTACTAGATACCTACTCTGTAGTCGTATCTTGGACGAATAAACTATGTTGTATATATATATATATATATATATATATATATAAATGTAGGTATATACAATACGACCAGTAGCACGTTGATTGCGAAGCTGTATAAGACGTCCATCTATTATATTATTATCCCCTTGACACTCACTTAAACTAAGATTGCTTCATTCACCTTAAACCAGGAGACTAGTTTATTTAGTTTTTTAATAGAGATGATGACAGGATAAATTAAAGAAATTCCATTTAGTCCGCCAGTAGTTTAAAAAAAAGGAGACTTATTTTTATTTTTCAATTAACCAAAAAATATATGAAGATAATGCCAGTCAAAAATAGGAGCATTATATTTTTTTGATAGACGAATAAAAAAAAGTTAGTGATGATGCCTATGTAATGGTTTTTAGTTCTACAGGTAAAAGTAAGTACTTTGTTCTTCAAAGAAATGGTTGAACAAAGCATTTTTTTTTGTAAAAATAAAAGTTAATACATTACAATTATTTGTTATTTTTTTTCAAATATAAGTTAATGTTATAATACTCAAGCGATCTAAATGTTTCTCTTCTGTGGGGGAGCGGTTGAAAATTAATAATTCTATCCTGAATACTCTACAGCTCTGAGGTTACGTCGGACTTCTGCCTAGGACGATTATGTAATTTATTCGTCAAAGATTCCCGCTGACTAGATTACACCTTGTTGTGGTTGCCACTGGTCTTAACAGGCTTTTAGGCAAGATCGTAAAATGAGAATGAACATTTTGAATTTATCATTTCATATCTAATTATTCATAGCAGGAAGATTATTGAAAAATATATTTATACCGACCTCGCATATTAATGGTCAGATTTCAATTCATATCAAATAATTAGGTGACATCAACGTTAAAGTACTTAACTTAAGAATTGAAATCAATTATCGAACAGCTTGAACTTGCCTTATTATTTGCTAGCTCAAAACAAAAGAGGTTGATTATACCCCAAAGTGATTAAATCCCTGTTATGAGACGAAAGGCGAAAGATCGTCTCATCGAGACTTTTGAACTCGAAGAGTGGGTATAACCCATTCAGGGTGTAGATCCAAGTAACTCGAAGTTTGTCTTTACAAGTGAGTTCTCTCGAAAATACGGGGTAATGAGCTTGTTAGAGCGAGTTAGGGGCTTAGCTTTCAGTGCTAAAATGCTTAAAATACTTCGCGTATACCGTTGCATGGGCTTAAGGACTTGTAAGAATACGTGGATAAGTGACTAGAATACTGATGAGAGGACAAATACATTAAGGTTTTCGGTAACGGGTATTTAGGTAATATATTCAAAAGCAACCTTATTTAGTGTAAAAGGTTGTGTAACTATTTTAAATGGCTAAAGTAAATTGTAAAGGGTTGTTGGAAATAGAAATAAAATGGCGCACACATTTTTTCTCAACAGTGAATGAATTTTTGAGATCTATAAATAAAAAGGTTACCTCCAACTGAATGTAACGGTTTCCACTAAATATTCTTTTATTCCAAAACGTCTGTAGTCTGAGTGTAGTTTTTATGTGTCAGAAAGTAGCCAACATTTTCTTAATAAAATTAACTTTGGGAAATAAAATATAATATATTAATATTTAATTCTTTAATTTGATTAATTTTGACAATAAATTACAACCATGTATCGGTAACAAATTCACAAAAATATTAATTTACTTTTTTAGTAACACTGGCTGTTTTTTTTTGTTCCTTTGCCTAAAAAAAGCGTTTCATAATGTAAGACTTGAAGGTTTCGTCTCACTAAAGTATAACGTTTTTTTAGAATTCTGTGTGATTGTGATAGCTGTAAGTAATCACGCACAGCCAAAGCAACAAATATAGTAGCCAAAAAGGATTGAATTTTCTCTATCGATGATTATTTATAATTTTATAGGTTATACTTGTGGGCCGTCCTCGCTTCGCTTCGGTATAGAGCTGTAGTGTAGTCTATAGTTTTTGTGCTCAGGCTTGTATTATGACTTTCTCCATCTTCTTAATATATAAAATATAAATTACGCATCACGTTGTTTGTCCGCGATGGACTTTTAAACTACTTAACCAATTTTAATCAAATTTGCACACCGTGTGCAGTTTGATCCAACTTGAAAGATAGCTTACATCTCAATTTGAAGTCGCAATATTATTTTATAGCAAATTACTACTTTTGGGCGGTACGAAGTTCGTCGGGTCAGCTAGTATAATTATAAACCTTCCGTGAAAATTAGATTTATTTTAACACTCACTATTTAGCCTAGCCCTAAAGTAAGCACTGTAAGGCTTGTGTTATGGAATACTAGGGAATTCATATACAGCATCAGATAATTTTTGGTATTTTTTTACACGTTGGGTTATATCATTTAAGTATTCATACGGAGCCCTAACTTTTTTAGGAATACTCTATAGCCTATGTTCATCAGGGATAATGTATGATTCTAAATGTGAAAAAACTTTTCAAATCGGTCCAGGATTTTCGGATCCTATTCAATATAAACAAACAAACAATCAAATCTCTCCTCTTTATAATATTAGTATAGATAAATCAGCATAAAACTCTACAGAGAAAGTTTACAGCTTCGGATAATTTGACCTGGGAATTTCTGTGCAGAGAAGTTTACAGTTTCGGATAATTTGACCCATGATTTTCTGTGTGGAGAAATTTTACAGTTACAGGATAATTTGACCTATTATTTTCTGTATCTATTTTTGCTCCTAGGCAGTAACAACACACAAAATAAATCCTATGCGATCCCATACTAACTTTCAGATGAAATCATTATAAGCTTACAGCAATTTTTCTGGGTTCCTTCATCCCATTATTCCGAGATTCTAAGCGATACTTATTATCGTACGAATTGGACAGTATTGCTTCTAAATGTAGATGCTTAAAATTGCATCTACATTAAGTATGAGTTGCACCACAAAGCTAGTTAAAGTTAAATTTTACTGTCAATTTATGACTTCATTCTCTTAGTCTTTACTGTCAATTATATCAGTAATAGATATACAATTCTTAAATCCGTCATATTGTCACAGAATTATTGTGTCTATTGAAATAAACAATAAAACGAATACGACAAAAAGTATTTTTTTAGGTTGTAAGTTTATAGTTGAAAATTTGGAATTATGGCATAAAAACCTTCATGTCCGAGAATCTCCGTGGCGAATCTAAATCACACTTGACAGGATTGTCCCATAATATTTTATATTTTTCAGTGACTGGAGTTGTTTCAGCACCTTCACCAAAAATTTCTGTGGATAACCCTCCTAAAGAAGAAAACTATGTGATTCCCATGACAAGAGCTGAAAGACTTAAAGTAAGTTGTAAATATTTTTCCTACCGATTTTATAACTTTCGTAGTTTTTCTTTCCATTATTATTTTCAATATTTTTAATGAGATTTGAGATGATTTTGAGAGATGAATTAGAGTTTAATTTGAATATGATTATTATCAAAACACGATATTTATTTGGTATCTACTTACTTATACTTTCTAGCAATGTTAAAAACGGTGCCTAGCAATAAAAAAATACCTGTTTTAAGTTAATGAGTTACACCATCATATTAAAAATATTACAATGACCGAAAATTTATCTACAATGGTCTGCTGTATTTCGAACAAGATAATTCCCAGAAAATCAAATTTTGCAATAAATTTCCGAATTGCGTATTAAGAGTAAATAGGTACCTACAGAATCATAGTCATAGTCATATTTATATAGTTTTTTTATATTATGTTTTTCAATGCAAGGTTTTACGCTACAGTAACATTATCTATGTCACTATTAATGTTTTTTTCTGAGGGATTTTCAATAGGTAAGATATTTTCTTAAACCAAAGTTGAACGATTATTAGGTACTCTTTAACTAACAAATCTATCTCAACCGTTATAATTTTCCTTTAAAGTTCATAAAAAAACACTAGTATCATGAGTTTTTTCAGGTTATCAAGCAAACAGTTTAGCTTTTAGAGGGGAGGGGGGGACAAACAGATCCCTTAATCGATAAATAGTCTTAGAAACCCCTAAGTAATTTTAAAGGGCCTAATCAACGATATCCCACACGTTGGGGTAGACGATGAAAAAAAAAACATCCCCAGGTTACTTGTAGGGGAGCTATGATAACTACGAAACTATAAGGGTTCCTTGTCAGGACGACGGAACCCTAAAAACTGGACTCTATTACTAAGTAAGACGGAAAGTGTTCCGTCAGACTGTCTTTTACCAGGTCTCATGAACTACGATAGCTAGACAGTTCAAATTTTCACAGATGATTTATTTCGGTTGCCGCTATAACAACTAATCCTAATAAAAACAGAATATTCTATGGGGCTCGCATATAACTAACCGTTTTTTGCTCTATATTATATAACGGCAATAGATAGACGCTTGAAATATTTTGTGAATTTCGCTGTGATTGTTTTGGCCGGTTTTTGCTCGATTTAATATTATGTTTATAATAGCTAATGGTACGGAATCAACCGTGTGAGCGAACGAATATCGCTTGGCCTAGTTTTTTTTATTAACTTTTACAACTAATGCAGTATAGTCTTCGCAATTAAGCACATAATTAGCAGCCTTTAAAAGAAGATCCGCAAGAAATAGTCTGCCTCTAATAAAATAAATGGTGGTTGCTTTTCTGTTTAGTTGCTGCTACAGTTTTTGCCGGTGTAGTAAATAAACAGAGCGAAGAATGTTTGTGGGAAATTTTATGTTTCTTTAAATGGAAGCTTAGCGCATTCGCTTAATTTTGCGAAATGGTCATTTGAGTAGAAAAATGTTGAATACTTGAAATTCAATATTATTTGATGACGAGATTAAAATATATTTCAAATCTATTTATAACTGATCTTTTGAATAAGTCAATTGGAATAATAAAACAGCGGTAGTACTTAAGTTTGAAATAAATAAAATACAGTGAAAAAGTAACTGTAATCGAAACCAAAGATATTCTCAAGTTACAATGCCTTATGCTCTCTTCAATTTAGCTAAAACGTTCTAAAGAAAATGTCGTAGGTATTCTTTTATACAAACCTACGTAACATCTACGCAGCCGGCCAGCATTATTCAGACGAGAGTGATGAAAGCGTACATAAAACAAAATCCGAAAGAAATTGTTAGCTATAAAAGTAATAGCGAAAATTTTTCTACTTCGTCATTGCGGGAGGTTTTCGTCGAGTTCATACTTCTTATATATAGTGGACGAGAAAATGCGTCCAGTAATGTCCTCTGGTTTATCTTGTCTACCATTTTTATACATACTCTTATAATAAATAAATAAATATAAATATTTACAACACTGACACCAATTAGCCTAGCCCCAAAGTAAGCACTGTAGGCTTGTGTTATGGGATACTAGGGTAACGGATAGAATACATATACTGTACATATATAAGAATATTTATATAGAAATACATATTATACATCCATGACTGGAGTACAAATGCTCGTATTCATCACACAAACATCTACCCCCACCGGGATTCGAACCCGGGACCTCTCGAGTCGGCGACACCATGAAACCCCGCGTACAAACCACTCGGGCACGGAGTTCCTCAAAGAAACATATACAATGATTTTAGCATTGTTCAAGTGGTAGTATAAAAATTACTTTGGTAAAAATGCATCGATTGCATGGATAATTACTTTGATTGTTAGAAAAAAAAACAAATTTTCACATAATCAATGTAGTTTTCATAAAAAAAATATTAAAATAAAATAAACATGACAGCCAAACAATAAAAATCAAACATATAAATTTCTACCGAACGGGGGTAATAAAAAACTTCAATCTATCAAACATTACTAAAGTAAAATATGATTCCCTCATTTATCACTAACAAAACTGACAATATAAACTAATAATATAAAAACGTGTTAGTATCTGAAAATAAGCCACATTTCTATTATTTAACGAAGTTGGGTATTTTCCAAGTTCATAACAGGCACTTTTGCCGAAGTAAAACAAAGCGTAGAACAGGGCCGGTACCGCCGCGCCGCTGCCGATGCAATATCCGTGCTTTTCTCCTGTGGATGCGGCTGCTGGTTTTTTTTAACCTAGAAGTTCGTTAATGACTTTTGAATTGAACGGGACCAGTAATGAACTCTATTTATACCTCATATTGACTGTCAGTGTTGTATGTACTTCAATTTATTTATTAAATCTATTTATATAAAACATTTAATAAAGAAGAGTAAAAAAATTATTTTGAGGCAGTTTAGGATACATACGCGAACACAGAACAAAAGAAAAAATTACATCATGCTCATTTTTGTTTCTATGTTGCATGTGTTAACAGTGACGTATTAAATTTTTTAATACGTCAATGTGTCTAAATAATGAAATATATTTTGAAGTTGAACTTAATTTGTGCTGCCTCACTGCTTTAATGTGCTATCTGTATCAGACACGTGGAAATATAATTTCATAAATCTGGAATTTATGAGAATAACAAATTTTATTTTTCCATTACAAATAAAGAATATTGGAAGTGAAATCTTATTGCTGTTTTACAGTCGTAAATGATGAAAGCAATTGCTAGGAATTAGTGGTACCTATAACTGGTCTGTTCCTTGTCCAGTACCAAATATATATTCTATACGTGCTAATCCAAATGCTGATGGAAAGTATTCTGCGGTCAAAAAAATATAGAATAAAGTTTCAATGCTATTTTTTTGTGTAATTTGTTAAGCGAAGTTTTCTAGTAACGATAGATAATGTAACGTATAAAGTTATTATAAATAATTTTAATTTTTTAAAGTTGATTTATTACCGTAAGTAATTTTGCAAAGATTAATAGTTTGTCTGTAGTTGCCATATCATATTTCTCATATCGTGTTTGGTGGTCAGACAAAAAAATTCCTTATACGATGAATCCGCAAATGTTCAAATTAATCACTCGTAACACCTGTGCTGTTTATTCATATAAAATTAGAGCGTATTCAAGCAACATCATTAAGTTAATTTGGGCTCACCGTAGACATACAAACAAAACGCCCTTTTGATGAGCCTCTATTGTTTTAAGATTAATCTTAATTGTAACTTAATTAATGTGTAACATAATGGTGGTATGAAAGAGTACACTGTTTTTGAGTATTATCTTAATTTATTACAACAAAAAACAATTAGCATGAGAATGTTCTCTAAATATCTTTTAGACGCTACTTAGGCAATTATTTTTTTTTATCTTAAAATCTCCGTTTTTCTAGCTACACCATGTAACTTGGACAGATATCAAAACATCAATCCATACTAAGCATTATATTCATAGGAAAATCTTTGTCCCCTTTTCAACCGACTTTAAAAAGGAGGAGGTTCTTAATTCGACAGTTGTTTTTTAATGCACAATTTGTGCAAAGAAGATATCACTTTGACAGAAGAAGATTCAATAGAGATTTTGATAAGTTTTAGAAAATGATCTCACGTTATTAGGTATTCGTCATTCTGTTGTCTATTTTAGTAAAAAAAAACTTAAACATAAAATTCCATTTTCAAGTTGCCGCAACAAACGTTTCTCTGGACAATATGGCGTGTTACTGGTATGTGACGTCACACGATTGTCTTTAAAACGTCAAAGTATACAATACACTGTATCGAAAGTGACATTACAATGCCACTTTGATCGCAAATTTATTAGCGTGTGACGTCATTTTAGTCTTTTCCAATCCCAGGCGTCACGTGACCATGGAACAGGAAAATCATTTCTATTTAATGACTTTTTAGAAAAGTTATAGTTGCCAAAATAAAAATGAAGCGGATGATACAGTGGAAGGGAGTTTTCTTGGGAAACCTATTACTAAAAGGCAAATTCGATAGTACCTACTAAGAATATTTAAATACCCCTAAAATTTATATTTATACGATACTACTGTATGTAGTTTTGTGTTTATGTAGAAATGTATAAACTGAAAAGCTGCGTAGAATCGTTAATGTACCAAAGATATTCCAAAAATGTATAGTGAAAATATGAATTTTAGGCAATTGATTTATGATTTCTTTTTGCGTTGAACTGATAGAAATATCGGTCTTGTAAAGCTCTCGGCTTGCCCAAGTGAATAATAAAATTGATGCAAGTAGAGATTTAAGACCTTTCAATTTTATGGAATCATACCCTTAAGTTTATGAGATTTTTGGGGTTGTATTTCAATTCCCTTTAGCGTGTGTATTTAGAATTGGGTTTTCATTTGAAGTTATTATGAAAATGTTATTTCTACCGAAAACCTGCACTTAACTCAGCTAAGCTTTCATTATGCCATGAAAATTAATGGAATCTGTATTTATAATTAACTTATTATAAAGTCTGATATAAAAGGCAACCGTTATTAATTGATCTATCGATGCATAACTGTAACCACTGAACGGATTGCGCTGAAATTTGGCACAAATATAGCTATGCGTGGTGCGTGCGTAGGGATGCAAATGATATTAATATCGATATTTCAAAAGACTTTGCATCCCTTTGATATTTATATCGATATTTATATCGAACATTTTTGATATTTATATCGAAGTCAGGAAAATATCGATATCCGATATATCGACGATTTTAACTCGATATTATCGATATATCGATATTTTTTGGTTTTTAGCTTTGTATTAAGTTTGCAAAGCAAAAACCTAAAATTAAGGAAGCAGAGGTTTCCAAAATATCGATATTTATATTGTGGCAGGTAAATATCGATATCCGATCCGATATATCAGCCATTCCAACATTTCCAACACGATGTTTATAGATATTTTCTATATTTTTATAGCGCTGTAAGAAGTATCAAATCAAAAGCAATTTCGAATCAAAGATATTTATTTTGTTTATAATGTTAAAACATCAGGGGCGTGCCCATGGCTTCAGAAAGGGTAAGCCCAAAGCTTTCAAAATTACTATACCTATCTTACTTCCTTGACTTGGCGAGCTTAAAAAAATACGATTTGTTTAAGATTCTTAATTTTATTTTAGTAGTAGTTGACAATTATCTAGAAAGAGAGGCAAGGATTTTATTTAAGTACATGAGTTACCATTAGGTATACGATTATACCTATATACGTTGGTGTCGATTGTGGCAAGATTATCTAAAATTAAAATTAAATTTAACATCAGTCTCTCCTTTTCATTCTGTATAGAGAATGACAAGGATACACTGTTGTCAAATTTAATTTTAGGTTTAGAGAATCATGCCAGAGTCCACACCAGTTTAGTATATTTCTTGGGATTCAAGGTTTTTTTAATACATCTATAAGCTCTTGCGATTTCAAGGCAATAGTTATGTCGATATTATTCAATTTAGATAGTCATAGCAGGTAAATTAATTGAAATTTAGTCTACGAAATATCGATATTTTTGAATTTCCGATATCGATATTATCGATATCAGTGAATTTTAATTATCGATATAAATATCGATATTTTGGTCTCGATATTATCGATATCAGTGAATTTTAATTATCGATATAAATATCGATATTTTGGTCTCGATATTATCGATATTCCGATATATCGTTGCAACTCTATGCGTGCGCTGGGAAAGGATATTTCTAAAAAATCACTCCTTGAAAGGGTGAAACGGTGGTTCAATCTTTGTATGACGCACCAAGTCAAGCAAATTAATGTTTCGGGGTTTTTCAAAAATCAACCTTTTAAGGGGTAAAATGAGGTAAAAAGGTAAAACTGTAGAGTCTTTTCATTTAAACGGCGACGGAGAAACGGCGGGCAAAAGTTAATAATTAATCTAAATATTAACATTATAAAACGTGCAATATCACTCTTCAAGACCGTCAATTCCATTTTATTGACATACAAAAATGCATTATGATCTATCAGGTATTGCACAAATCTGGACCTAGAGCATTTTCGGGACCAGTAGAAAAGGTTCTAAAATGGCACAAGGCTCTGCAGGAGATTGGTGTCTTGATCATCTACGAGATTGTAGGTGAGTTTTATTGTATACCTAATGTATCAGGACAGCAGGAAGGATTAACATTGTGAGGAGCTCGATAGCGCAAGTGGTTAACGAGTTATGCTGTCAGTCATTAGATGGGTGACCAAAAATGTACTAGCTTGAGCTGATCCGTGCTTCGAAAGGCACCACACCATCAATCTGCACTGGGAACGCGTGGTGGGCCATGGTCCAATCTCCCTAATCCATCTTTAGGAAAGGCCTGTGCCCCTGCAGTGGGGTCGTTCATTTGTTGTGATGTATACAACATCAGGGGAGAGGACGCCTTCCCTGTCTATATTAAAAATAACTTAACGATTATTTTTCGCCATCGTTAGATTATTTTATATGGAAGGTTTTTATCTATTTAGAATAAATGCCCAAGAACAAATAAAGCAATAACGGCTTAGTAGGGAATGGGTCACTTGGTATTAAATTAAACACTATTCAACAGCAAAAAAGTAAAAAAAATAGTTGTTTATACAACATTAACGAAAACAGTTGAAATGTAAATCGAAGTCGGAGTTCTGGACCATTGTACGTAAAGGATTTAATAATGAGTTAGAAGTCTAGAAATATTATAGTAGAAAGCAGGAGAACTTTTTTTTTTAATTTTAAACATCATTTTTCTTTGAATTGTGACTCGTATAATCTCAAAGTGTTTTGTTACATTGTCAAAAAAATAACACTGTCTTTCCATCATGTAAAAAATATACCTAATAATTGATTATATTTATTAAAATTGTTCAGAATTTTCTAAGTTAATAACGAGAAGAAATATGAAATAACGAGTCAATAATAGCATTAGTATTGTTGTTACTTATGCGACATAAGATTGATGGGAAATAAAGAAGAAATGAACAGAAAGGCTACTCGGAATTTCTCGGAGCTACAAATGAATGTTTATTTCCAGCGAAATGTGTGAGTGTCAGACCGGGAGATTCATGTTCTAAGAATTTGGTGGTGAGGGATGACAATGGTCCCGCTATGCAAGTGGTTTATTATGAAATTGACTTTCTTTTGCCAGAACTAAAGCCACCGTGCACTGTAAGGTAAAAAAACAAAATATTACAAACATATATTAGCATGGATCTTTAAAACGGAACTGCTATTGAAATAAAATAATGCAACAAATGCTCATATTCATCATACAATCATTTGCTACACCTCTGAGTAAGTGACACCTTTTAACTTGCTGTAAATACCACTCAAAAATGGTCGTTGTCAACTTGCATAAATATGTAGGTAACTCTAATTATATAGTTTTCAATACCGTGGAACGCAACATGACGAAGTTCACGATAGGTACATTTATTTATCGATTTTATGAGCAGGTACGATCCCAGATCATTGGTCGGTTAAGTAGATCATCATCTAATCCCTGGCTCTTATAAAATCCTTGTTTTGCAAAGTAGAATAGTGGGCAGAATGATTTTATTTTGAACCTTTGCAATTAGCGTTAGCGTTCGCCAAGATTTACTATTTACCAAAACTCGTTTAAGGTCGCTGTTCGGTATTCGTGTCGATTCTGGCATGATTCCCTTAACTTAAAACTAAATTTAACACCAGTCTCTTCTTTTCATTCTGTATAGAGAATACACTATTGTCAAATTTAAGTTTAGATTTAGAGAATCATGCAGAGTCGTAACCATAAATCGACTCCATTGTATATCGTAACCTACCATATTAATGCCATATTTTTGTGAAATAGAATAGTTGGAAGAATGATGGCGGGCACTTGTCGCCTACAAGCATTCAATGTGCGTGCGGCGACGGGCGACGACGTGGCGACGTTGCCGCGCCGCACTGCCGTTGCGGCTCATCACGTCGCCAAGATGTGCAAGGAGTACGGGACGAACGTGGCTCATTAAACATTAGGAATTATAATAAAAAGATAGATAATGGACTGAGGAACCTCGCATGAAATTGACTATTTTTTATTTTTAACCTTTCATATTAGTATTAGCGTTTGACAACTATTACGTTGGCCCTCCGAACAAGAAATTACGTTGGCCACTTGTCTAAGTTTACATCGCATCGGTATGCCGGTCGTATGCGGTATTGTAGATGGTCACCTACCCTTCTAATAAGACGAAGAAGAAGACTTTTTCTAGTGCCTCTCCGAGCAGCGTGGACATGGACTAAGCAACCTGGCATGAAATTGGCTACTCTTTATTTTTAACCCCTGAAGTCAGCATTAGCGTTTGACAACTGTTACGTTTGGCCACTTGTCTAAGCTCACAACGCAGGTCGTTCGCCAATATTGCAGATGGTCACTTACCTTACTTCTTCTTGTGCCTCTCCAAGCAAAGGAGGTTGACAGTCAGCGCTGCATAGTCCTTCTTTTTGCAATTGATAACTTATTTGATAACTTATTGAGGAGCTCGATGGCGCAAGTGGTTAGCGCGTTCCGCAGCGATCGTTGAATTTAAGCAACATTCGCAGTGGTCGGTCATTGGATGGGTGACCATAATTTACTATCTCGAGCTCCTCCGTGTTTCGGAAGGCACGTTAAGCCGTTGGTCCCGGCTGCATCTGCAGTCGTTAGCACCCACCAACCCGCACTGGGCCCGCGTGGTGGGTCATGGCCCAATCTCCCTATTCCATCCATAGGGAAGCCTGTGCCCCAGCAGTGGGGACATTAATAGGCTGATGATGAACTTATTTTCCAGAGTTAATAATGGAGCAGTCAATACCTACTTATAACTACTCCATAACTATTGGCCGCACGATTGATTCTCTCTCTCATACTAACGAGCATAATATGTGGTTTTACAGTTGCACAGGGAAGGCTCAGTCCATTCTTTATATCTTTGTATTAGTATTAATGTCAGCACATTATCTTCGTCCGTTTCACTGTAACTTATAAAGTTAGTTTTCAATGTTGGACACGATACGGCTCGACGAATTTCAAAGATACATCGAATTCCGATTTTAAGGGTAGGGTTCTTAGATTATATTTAAAAAAATTTACTTGTACTCCGATGACATATGAAATGTTAATTCATATGGATAAGTGAATAATTAATTTTGAAATGTTGTTTGTTACCTATTTCGATAGTCTTCATTTAAACAATAAAAAAAAAGGATTAATGCAATAAACATTGCCCATTAAAGTTGATAATTGGATTTGGTGGGACATTGTTACACAATAATGGGAATGTCAGACTTATTCGTTTCTACTTCTTTCTTATATAATTTTATGTTTCGGCTAAATAACTTATTTTGTTCCCTCTTAAAATTCTTTCTCCCTATGAAAATAAAGAGTACCTACCAATAATATTTCACGATTATTCTTTATCAACTTTAAACGACATACAATTTACGAGTTTAATTAATAAATTTTGCATATTATGAATAATGTTTTTTTATTTACTAATTTCCCTTATGTTAATGTTGCACGTCACTAAAAACTACCATCAAAATAAACATACTTTACATCAAATCTACTTACATGGAATGCAAGAATTATAATGTTTCCAAAATAATAACAAAAGCGACTAAAAGCTTTTGTTACTATTTTGGAAACATAATTCTTCAGAGAAAAATAAAAATAATTAAATTTTTAAGAAATATCTTGGATTAATTCCATTTTACATTTGGTGGATGCTTGAACGTAACCACGAGTTAGAATGAGTTAAATTGGGATAAGATCACGAAGAAACGGCATCTAATCGACTGGGGAAATCATTTTATTGTGTAACGCATGAATCTTTCCGGATCCCGGTTAAGCTTCCCACTGTAACCTCAAGTGATGTAATTTTTTTTATTGCAAAGTAATCTTTTAAATATTTATACCCATATATTATTCCATGGAGCAATCAAATATTGTAATGTCATTTCTTTTATATTTATTTTTTTACCCTTATACTTTTTTTGTTGTTGTTCTTAAATTTCCCCTATTAGGAAGGCAAAGAGCATAGCCCATAAAGCCTCGCTTAGGATAAAATTCCTTACTCTTCTACTATGAAGGAAAATAGCATAGATCATCAATGTAGGCGAAGGCAAAGTACTTCTATAGCCTTGCCTTCAGATTTTTTATTTTGAGTTAATATAAAACCCTATAATTTTGTCTTCATAGTGTTTGGCATCCACATGTCAGAAAGGGAACCAGTCGAAAACCAGCGTCAGTGCAAACTGACACAATGCTGAACTGGGTCCTTTTCGGTCGAGCTGTGTATACATGTTATGTAATATATGTTTTTTAATAACCGTCGTTTAGTGTCCTTATATATAGTGTGTGTATAAGTTTAACCAGTAGCCTGTATCCATGACTGTTCCCAATAAATGTTTTTCATTTCATATGCCATTATGAATCATCTACGTGGAAAATCCGGATGAGGCGCGTGTACCTAACAATAAATACTCACACGCGCGTTAATAAGCGATGTTATAATTAAATTTAATCTCGACTTAGATATACCATAACTAAGGCCATTACTCTGCTTGCGTTTACCTTCAAAAAAAAATTTAGTTCCATAGATGAACAAGCAAATCAGTCTCTCAACTAACGTAGGTAAGCATATCTTGAGTTATTTCTTATTTAGTGTAGTTTTTAGTGTCTTATATTTCGGGGAATAACCAACACAGGGTAGCAATCCCGCTAATAACTATAATATTAGTGACCATAAAAGTTTAAAACAATATTATTGAAAGTTCTATCCAGACTAGAACAATCAGGTAAAATTTCGTAGGCAATTTGTAGTTTGATTTGCCGTTTTGGCAAATTTTCAACGTCTGCCCTGGAGGAGCTCTCGATTCTTTCTAATGTCGTTCGAAAGCGCTCTGCATGCACCGTGAGCAGATATTGGTCCTTATAAACTGCTATCAAATCTTGGGTATATGCCAAACGACGTACTCATTACATTGGCATCAAAATTTTGCTCCAAATAACTATACCATACTTGACCAGCCTTTGAATTTTATTGGAAACCTTTTAAAATGCAGATTTTTTGAGCCTTGTTTGTTTTGATCACTCGAAGACTTAATGAATTAATATATTTACAAGTTTAATACGACATATTTAAAAATAAATATTTCCTAGAATTACATCAATTAGCCTAGCCCTAGAGTTATGGGATACAAGGGTTAATATGGGTTTATATGTATGAGATAGAAATTATCGGTTCTATTTTCGTGTCTAGGTTTGCACAACTACAGATAAATGTGCACTATGTAACTGAGGTGCGGGTGCGATATGACACTTTATGGGCTCTAAATCAAATACATATAAGCCTTTGCTTTCCATGAATTGTCAATGCGGTTTCAACCCTGTAAACTTTCATAGTACCTATATAAATGGTAGTTGTGATACTTTAATACTTGTTACACACCTGGAGTATCTAAAGATCACCAAATTATTTTTTACTTTTTAAGGTTTCGTAAGCAAAGGGAACAACGAATCTCATTGCTAAGTAATTTCGTAACTAAGTCATTACTTAACACTAGAGTACTTCAATATAAATTTTATTTTTTTAAACGATTAACATACTATGTGTTTGTATATTACTCGTACATATGCTTGTCTGAAAATGACTGATATTTGTGTGTTAATTTAAATGTAATTTGATAATGTAAATAGTAAATAATTGTTAATCTGATTTGATTCTAATTTTTACATTTTAATCCTAGTCATTAAAATGTAAAAATTAGAATCAAATCAGATTAACAATTATTTACTATTTACATTATCAAATTACATTACACAATAAATACAATACTTAATTTTATTTAATTTTGAATGTTTAATAATTTTTTTTAATAAATGGATTGAATAAATGTAATTTAATTGATTCGGAAATAAAGAATTATCATGATTATATACTTTACATTAGCAAATACTTAAGTGGGGGTTAACTAATTTACATTTATACAGAGTTTTATTTACAATTTCTTCTAATAGGTCGTTGCAAAATATTGCCCAGAAATGAAAATAAATCGTATCCATTATCAGATCACAATAAAAACATAATATAAATACGTTATAAAAGCACAAAACAATTGGTCAACAATTCTTATTTTAGATAGTCTTACTTTGATCAATTATTTAAGTATACATCCCTCAAAAAGTAGTAAAGCAATTACTATCCTTATCTGTAATACGAGGTTTATTTAAAACGGTTTATTTCTAATCTGTACCTCATAAACCATAATTGAGCGACTATTAAAAATTACACAAAGTATGTATTTTGATTTCTGCATTAACAAAAATAATGGAAACAATTTAAATTAAAAAGTAACGAAGGTCCTCGTATGAGATACAGGATCTTTACGTCGTTTGTTGTTCGACTTTTAATAGAACTGGTATTTTAAACAATAAATCTCGTATTTAATAGAACGGACACCTTCATGTGCGAGAACCCGAGTTGCGAGTCGTCAAATTTTACAGTGTTAATTTCAAGGTTGAAAAATCAGGTAGAAGAAATGTGCGGTCGCAAAAATATCTTCTGGATTACATTCTTAACTTTCGAGAAGACTTCCAAGGAGTCAATCTAAGTTACGAACTTCAGAGAGATGATAATTTTATGGCGATCGTGAGCTCAAAACGCAACTTTCACAGAGTACTTACTTTGCAAGCTCTGGTAGAGTTTTATAAAACTTTTGAATGTATAACATCCTAAGTACGTTCTTGTTACTTGTATGATTTGTTTGTGAACAAATGACAAGAGTAATTGTTAAGTACTGATAGTGATAAGTAGCTTTAAACGATCTATGTTGATCATAATGATTTGTTATATAGATAGGTTTGTGTAAAACTCTTAATGCCCAAACTTTTCTATCAATGTCGTCGCTCCATAAATAATCAATTAACACTATTTACGCGAAGTAGAGATATTATCCATTCATGTCCTTCTAATTGGGATCAATTTAA